GAATTATGTTGAGATCATTTCATTTGGGGGAAGAAAAGGTCAAGGTGAATCTCTGTTTCAATCTACACACAAAAATAAAACCCAGATGAATCAAAGGTAATAATAAGAAATGAAACAAAATATCAAAGAAAACATTGAGTGAATTGAAAAAAACAAACCTCTGAGTGGGGAAGCATGACACAAATTTCAAGAGTCAGAAAGGAAAAAAAATTGACTCCATAAGACGTGTAGACGTGGAAAACATATAATATGCTAGTCAAAGGGCTAAGTGAGAAACACTGTTACACTGACTATTTCTTTTGGATTCAAAAAACTGTAATGAATGAGAAAACAATAAATGCCTCATAAAAATAGATAACGTATATGAATAGGCTTTAAATGAGCTGACAAGAGGCTTGACCTCACTCACAATTAAAAAATAGTTTTTTGCCCCACTGGCTTTGCTCAGTGGTTGAGCGTCGACCTATGAAACAGGAGGTCAGGGCACATGCCCCGGATGTGGTCTCAATCCCCAGTGTAGGGTGTGCAGGAGGCAGCTGATCAATGATTCTCTCATTATTCTCTTCCTCTCTGATATCAATAAAGATATATTTAAAAAAAAAAAAGTTTTGGGCCCAGCCAGCCTGGCTCAGTGGTTGAGCATCAACCTATGAACCAGGAGGGCACAGTTTGATTCCTGGTCAGGGCACATGCCTGGGTTACAGGCTTGATCCCCACTGTGGGGTGTGCAGGAGGCAGCTGATCAATGATTCTCTCTCATCATTGATGTTTCCATCTCTTTCTCCCTCTCCCTTCCTCTCTGAAATCAATAAAAAAGTTTTGGAACAAAATAACGAGATGCTCCTTTAAAACAAGAACGACAAGGTTGCACACAGCCAGCTGAAGCAGTGCTGGGCGGAAGCAGGCCTCCCACTCTGTCGTCGGAGTATGAACCAGCACAGCCTCTTTGGGGGGCAATCTGGATATATCAATTTTCCCTTCAAACTTTTTTTTTTTATTTAAATCTTTATTGTTCAGATTATTACATTTGTTCCTCTTTTTTTTCCCCCCATAACTCCCCTCCTCCCAGTTCCCGCCCCACCCTCCGCCCTCACTCCCCACCCACTGTCCTCATCCATAGGTGCACGATTTTTGTCCAGTCTCTTCCCGAATCTCCCACACCCCTTCCCCCCCAGGAATAGTCAGTCCATTCCCTTTCTATGTCCCTGATTCTATTATGATCACCAGTATTCTGTCATCAGTTTTCACTTGATTCTTAGATTCACTTGTTGATAGATGCATATTTGTTGTTCATAATTTGTATCTTTACCTTTTTCTTCCTCTTCCTCTTCTTAAAGGATACCTTTCAGCATTTCATATAATCCTGGTTTGGTGGTGATGAACTCCTTTAGCTTTTCCTTATCTGTGAAGCTCTTTATCTGACCTTCAATTCTGAATGATAGCTTTGCTGGATAAAGTAATCTTGGTTGTAGGTTCTTGGTATTCATCACTTTGAATATTTCTTGCCACTCCCTTCTGGCCTGCAAAGTTTCTGTTGAGAAATCAGCTGACAGTCGTATGGGTATTCCCTTGTAGGTAACTGAGTTTCTTTCTCTTGCTGTTTTTAAACTGATAAGAACAGATACTACACTTGATCTTAGCCAAAAGGCCGAGAAGCGATGTCTCTTGCTGTTTTTAAGATTCTCTCTTTATCTTTTGCTCTTGGCATTTTAATTATGATGTGTCTTGGTGTGGTCCTCTTTGGATTCCTTTTGTTTGGGGTTCTCCGAGCTTCTTGGACCTGTAAGTCCATTTCTTTCACCAGGTGGGGGAAGTTTTCTGTCATTATTTCTTCAAATAGGTTTTCAATATCTTGCTCTCTCTCATCTTCTGGCACCCCTATAATTCTGATGTTGGTACGCTTGAAGCTGTCCCAGAGGCTCCTTACACTATCCTCGCATTTTTGGATTCTTTTTTCATTTTGCTTTTCCGGTTGGGTGTTTTTTGCTTCCTCGCATTTCAAATCATTGACTTGATTCTTGCGCTCCTCTGGTCTGCTGTCGGGAGTCTGTATAATATTCGTTATTTCAGTCCGTGTATGCTTAACTTCTAGTTGGTTCCCCAATATAAGATCGAGGGTCTCATTAGTTTTCTTGTAGATCTCATTAAGTTTATCGGCGGCTTCTAAACAGTTCTTGAGAGACCTTAAAAGTGTGGTTCTGAACTCTATATCTTCCATTGACAATTTTGTCCTGTTTCTTTGTCTCCGCATTTTGTTATGCTTCCTTGGTGCACCCCCTAGTGGTCTTTGTTCGCAGTCTTATAGTTAAATCTTGATTGTTGTAGCTAATTCCAGGGAGGGTTTGACCTCCAGGCCAAGTGGCTATGAGAATCAGCTGTGTCAGCAGTGAGAGAACTTCTGTCCTCTAGGGAGGTGCTAATCTGGCGTTTGCCTGAGGCTATCCGGCAAATGCCTGTGTGCGGGGCTTGGGCGGGTTGGGTCGCACAGGATCAACAGGGTGGGCCGGAGAGAGCAGTTATGGCGGCTCTCAGTCCTGTCCCCAGGGGCTCTGCCTCTCTGAGTCCCAGCACCCGCTGCAAAGCTCAGAGAGAAAGCTGCACTCGCTCTGACCGAAGCCAGACAGTCCCGCTTCTCCCATTTGAGTCTGGGTCCCTAGAGACTTGCCCGGATCTGGAGCTCAGAGTCTGCGACTCCCTCCCGATTGAAAACGCCAACTGCGCCCTCCGGCGCCAGCCCGCTCCGCGCACTCCGCACCTCAGAATTTGACTTCAGCACTGCGCCTCCTCTGAGTGTCCGTATGCGTTTCTCTTTCCTCCTAGTTGTACGACTTCCACTCAGCCAGCGTTCCTGTGGTTCTGGGTGATGTCCCTTCCGTTTTTTGGTTTCACTTTTGAAGTAGTTGTTCAAAGCAGCAAACTCCGGCGTTAACCTATGCCGCCATCTTGGTTCTCCCCAATTTTCCCTTCAAACTTTTAATGACAAGTTTCAAACATAGAAAACTTGAAAAAATTATATAGTGAACAACCACACATCACACTTAGATTTTACAATGGTCAACATTTTATTTTTTCACGATCACACATAGTATATATAGTATATGTAGGGTCTCAAAAATGTATACACACTTGAACAGTTGACAACTCACTTAATTTTCATTCCTTTTTAGGTTTAAATGACTTGAAATAATGGGTGAAGCCAGACTAAGCTTGGAACAAAGAACATTTATCCTAAAGCACCACTAGACATTTTTATGGGATACATTAAAGATAAAGTTTATAGGACAAAACTGGCAACAGTAGATGAACTGAGGGCACACAAATATCAAATGAAATGATTCTTGATGTTTTTGATTCCATTGCTTCACGTTATCAGCGGTGCCTGGACCAGAACGGTCATCAGTTTGAAAACAGGCATTGACAAAAAATTTATTCATTTATGTATATTCCTTTAAATTTTGAAAATGAATGTGTATTAATAAACACTGACTTTATAATTATTCAAAGTGCTTATACATTTTTGGGGAACACCCCATATATATATTATTTTTTTTGAAAAAAGTAATTTTAGAGAGAAAGAGGAAGGAGAGAGAGAAAGGAGGGAGGGAGAAAGAGAGAAATATTGATTTGCAGTTCTGCTTATTTATGCATTCATTATGCCCTGTATGTGCCTTGACCGGAGATCAAACCTGCAACCTTGGTGTATTAGGACGACGCTCTAACCAGCTCTGCTACCCAGCCAGGGCTATATTTATGTTTATATATTTATATTATATATTACATAAAACATATATGTATATACTAGTATATATCCACCCATATATGTATCTGTATCCATCTATCCATCCATCAACTATCTTATATTTCAGCGTATATATCAACTAGAGTTCAATATTTACAAAGGGTTGTTTTTTCAGGTAAAATTCACACAGATTTTAAGTGGACGACTCAATGTGTTTCTGACAAATGCACACACCTTTGTAATCCAAACTCTCCAATAAGATATACACTATTTCCATCACTCCACCAAGTTCCTTCCTGTCCCATTCCTGCTAATCCCTACAGGCTATTTTTTTAAAGATATGTTTTAATTGATGTCAGAGAGAGAGAGAGAGAGAGAGAGAGAGAGAGAGAGAGAAACATCAGTGGTGAGAGAGAATTATTGATCAGCTGCCTCCTGCACACCCTCTACTGGGGATCACGCCCACAACCCAGACATGTGCCCTGACCGGGATCAAACTGTGGTTCATGGGTAGATACTCAACCACTGAGCCACACCAGCTGGGCAATATCTTTTACTATAGGTTCGTTTTGCTGGTCCTAGAACATTATGCGAGCGGAATCATACGGGAGATACTCTTTAATGTTAGGCTTCTGTCACTCGGCGTAATGATGTCTGTGACTCACCCACTGCTGTGTGTGTCAGTTGTCCACTCCTTTGCACTCCCAGGTAGTGTTCCATGGTGTGGGTAGACCACGGGTACTTTATCCCTTCCCTCAGGGACGGGCATCTGGGTGGTTCCCAGTTTGGGACTGTTACAAATAAAGCCGCTATAAACACTCTTGTGCAGGTATTTTTGAGGACATGCTTTCTCTTGAGTCACTTGGGGTACATAGCCTGAATGTATGCAGACCCTCACCCTGGGACTTACTATTTTCACTTCGGTACAAAGACTCGGTGATGAGCGTGTGCTATGTGACAGGTACAGGAAGTGCGTGGTGAGAAGTGTGAGAAGTGTTTCTGGGGGGGCCCGGGGAAGGCCCCCTGGAGAAGGGACCCTGGTGCGGACACGGCGGGGTTCAGGAGGAGGATCAGGGCCCTGGTCAGACACACCTGTTCCAGTCCTGTTCCCCTGGGCGGGGGAGTCCCCGGGAGTCTTGCTTTTCTCATCTGTGTGGTGGGGATGATGACACGGCAGGGCTTGATGGGATAACTGGCGAAAAGGCCCCGCCATGGCTTCACCGGGTGCCTGTTTTGTTAAATATTTCTTTTTTCTTCATAGGCCTGGTTCCTCTGGGGGCCTTCAACGTGGATGAGAACTGGATCCGGGTGACGCCGGAGGAACACGGGCCGTATGTGCTCAGCTCCCTTTTGCACCAAGACCCCAGCAGCAACCAGACCTGGTGAGTGGGGCCCGGCACAGGCAGCCTGAGGACCGAGGGGGCCCCAGAGAAGGCCTTGGCAAACCCCCCTCCCCCGTCCAAGGCTGGGGAGAGCCTCCGTGCACTTCCCCAGGGGGTGGAGGAGAGGGGGAAGGAGAGGCTGTGAGCCCCAGGCCCCCCTGGCCCCCCGCCCTGGCCCTCTCCTCACCTGGCCCCTCTTTTCTTCATTGCTGAGGTGAGGAGGGGGGAGGGCCTTCAAAACTATTTTAAAATAAGGGTTTTTAAGGTTCCTTTGTCTCTTACAAAAATACCACATGCTCAGTGTAGGAATTTTGGACAGTGACAAAAATATTTTTAAAAAAATGGAAATTCTGGCCTGTCCGGTGTGGCTCCGTGGTTGAACGTCGACCCACGAACCAAGAGCTCGCTGGTTCAATTCCAGGTTGGGGCACGTGGCCAGCTTGCAGGCGCGATCCCCAGTAGGGGGCGTGCAGGAGGCAGCCGACCGATGTTTCTCTCTCATTATTGATGTTTCTATCTCTCTATCCCTCTCTCTTTTCTCTCTCTACAACCAGTCTAAACATAATTTTAAAAAATAAAATAAAAATGGAAATTCTGAGGCAGGAGGGGGTGGTGGCTAAGAGGCAGCTATGGGTCTGGTGGCAGCTTCACTCTGTTTCTGTAGCGACGTCTCCCCCACAGCCTCACTTCTCGTCTCTCCAACGGGGCAGGGTTCGTTCGCCTGCCTCCCAGGGCTGATGCAAAGACTGCTGAGTTCACGCACATTTTAAAGGGTTTAGCATAGTTTCTGGCCAAATTAAAGCTCAATCACGGTATCTTATCTTTTGAAAATCTCATCTGTACCCACTCATTAGACGAGCAAAAACCTAAATCTGATGACATTCTGTTGGTAAGGATGTGGCTGTACAGAAACTTGCGAGGACGTAAACTGGTGAAACCGCCCTGGAGAACAAGGTTGCCACGTGTGGTCAGACTGACGATGCCTGTGGCCTTGGGCTCAGCGATGCCACTCCCAGATGCCAGCCCTGAGGATTCTCGTCGGGGCAGGGTGTCTATGGTAGCCCTGCTGGGAGTGGCGACAGACAGGCATGCTCATTGTTCCGAAAATGGAAGAAATACGCTGTGAATCATGCGATCGGCACTAGCAGCAGGTCAAATGAATGAGATGTGTGCAGTGGCTATTTTTTATTTTTTTTAAATATATTTTTTTGTTGATTTCAGAGAAGGAAGGAGAGGGAGAGAGAGAGAGAAACATCAGTGATAAGAGAGAATCATGGATCGGCTGCCTCCTGCACGCCCCACACTGGAGATCCAGCCTGCAACCCAGGCATGTGCCCTGACCAGGAATGGAACCCCGACTTCCTGGTTCACAGGTCGACGCTCAACCTCTGAGCCACTCCAGCTGGGCAGTCCTGCTTGTTTTTTAAAAAAATATATTTTATTGATTTTTTACAGAGAGGAAGGGAGAGGGATAGAGAGTTAGAAACATCCATGAGAGAGAAACATCCATCAGCTGCCTCCTGCACGCCCCCTACTGGGGATGTGCCCGCGACCAAGGTACATGCCCTTGGCCGGAATCGAACCTGTGGGACTCTTCAGTCCACAGGCCGACGCTCTAGCCACTGAGCCAAACTGGTCAGGGCTTTGAAGGTATTATAAACCAGGCACACAGTAGGTGCACTATTATGTTAGGCGTCTCTCCCTCCACATAGCCTGTGACTTCCCCCAGGGGCTTGCCTGAGGCTGGGGCCTCATTCTCGTTGCTAGAATTGGCCCATGTGACCAGGGCTGATGGAGGCATTTGGGCTGTCCCCTGGGCTGTATGAGTGGCAGGGCCGGGCCCTTTCTCCCAGTGGACCCGTGCCCCTCCCTCCCTCCAGCACGTGCCCAGCACTGGAGTTGCTGGATCAGGCTAATGCGCTGGCCTCGAATTCAGTTTCTCAAACTTCGCAGTGCTTCTGACCGGGTGTCAGTCTGAGTGATGGATGCCCATCGCCCCCTGGGTCCCCTTGCACCAATGCCTGGGCGGGCCCCCCCCTCCCCAGCTCCTGGCCTGGCAGGCGTAGGGCTCCCTCCCTCCGCAGCTGAAAGGCCTCTTCGGAGGAGGGGAGTTGGAAGCCTGGGACAGGAGCTCTGAGCCCACCCAGGGCTGGGGCCCATGAAGGCCCTGCACACCTGCTGAGGTGGAGGGGCTCACGGAGGATGTGGTGGGAGGTGGTCCTGGGTTCCTGCCACAATGACAACAGAGCCAGAGACCACCGCTGCGGGGGCAGGAAGTGCCCCGTGGGCCACCAGGCCGCAGAGAGAGGAGCAGGCCTCCCTGCCCTGCGTGGGAGGCCAGGGCCCCTCTCCCTCATGCTGCGTCTCCCTAAAACATAGCAGCCAGGCTGGCAGCACCACGGGCGTGGCTGCCACAGTGGGGATGCGGTGGGACAGAAGGAAGGCCTTCTGGGGGGCCGGGGAGGGGGTGTGGGAATAGGCTGAGATGAGAGACAGGTTCCAGTTGGGTGAATCCGTCAGGTGGGTTGTCAGCCGATGGCAGGTTCAGTTATGGCTTAGTTAGTTAATCAGTTACTCAGTCAGCAAACCTGGAGACCCAGAGGCCACCCACCGTGGTGGGGCGATAAGGAGGTGGGCGGCAGAGGCAGCTCAGACTGAGCCCCGGGCCCCAGCCTTGCGTGCCTGATGCGAATGGCCACCTTGCCCCTGGTGGTCCCGGTGGGAACAGAGCCAGGGGTGGGATGGGTTCCAGTAGTCAGGCCCCTGGCCGGCTTGGAGGTCACCTTGCTCCTTCTTTGGGGAAGGCTTCCTGAGGAGCTGGTGGGAATGACTCGGCAGGAAGAGGGAGGGGAGGGCACTGCAGGCAGAGCAGGCAGCTGGGCAAAGGCTGCCGGAGGAAGGCTCGCACCTGCCCCACCAAAGCATGGCCGGGGCAGAGCGCAGTCCCGAGGCTCAGGCTGGGGAGGAGCCTGGGGAGGGAGAGAGGCAGGGATGCGGAACAGGTGACCTAATTTGGGGGCTCAGCTGCAGAGCCTGCAGAGTTCAGCTGCACCCACTCTCTACCCCTCAGCCCCGCCCAAGATTAGTCCCCTCACCTGCTGCCTGGGCTGTCATTTCGTCGTCACTCGGCAAATACTTACTGAGCCCTTGCTCTGCGCCAGGCACTGTTCCAGACCCTGGGAATAAAGAGCTAGACAAGATCCTTGGGGAAGTGCCAGGCCGCTGGGAGGGACAGACAGAAGCATGTAAACATGTAAACAGGATACTACAGAGGGGACAGGCTCCGAAGGAAATAAAACAGGGGGTGCCCTGACTGGTTTGGCTCAGTGGATAGAGCGTCGGCCTGCGGACTGAAAGGTCCCAGGTTCAATTCCGGTCAAGGGCATGTACCTGGGTTGTGGGCACATCCCCAGTAGGGAGTGTGCAGGAGGCAGCTGATTGATGTTTCTCTCTCATCGATGTTTCTAACTCTCTATCCCTCTCCCTTCCTCTCTGTAAAAAATCAATAAAATATATTTTTAAAAAACAAAAACGAAAACAACAGTTAGGATGGTATTACCACAGATCAGGCGGGAGGATGGTGGTCAGGATGGTGGCTGGGGAGGGAGAGAAGGAACGCGCTCTGTTGCTGCTGCTCACCAGGTTCCCATCTCTAAACACACGTCCCGGTCTCTCCTAGACGCTGGGATTCTGACCCACCAAACATGGGTTTTTTTGGTTGGTTGCTTGTTCTGTTTGGTTTCTGCAACAGCCTCACCATTTTTAATTTGTTTTTGTTTTAAAATATACCCCCATATCTCGTATTTTCCACTTTCTTTTTGTTCGTTTTCAAAGTGTACAATATTTCTGGACTTAAAATTTTCCGCTTAAATGTTAGGAAAAATGTCACATTTTCAAAAAATTCTGACTGGTGTTTGTTAAAATAAATTTGTAATATTGACAGATTGAAAAATGAATAGAGAAATGCTCTCTAGATGTAGGCTGGAGAAAGAACCCACAGGCCTTACGCGTGGATCTGATGTGGGGCGAGTGAAAGGTGAAGCGAGGACGCCCCGGCTCGGGGGCCTGGACTGTGGTGGCTGCTGGGGAAGGCGGACAGGGCAGGCTTGGAGGTCAAGACCCTGTGTTCTGCTTTGGACATTTCCAGTTTGCAGTGCCTGTTAGACAACGGGCAGTTGGCTGTTGTATTCGTTTCCTGTTGCTACTGCAGCAAGTTATAAAACATTTACTAGCTTCAAACAATACAGATTTATTACCTTTCCGTTCTGAAGGTCAAAGTCTCCAAAATGGCCACAAAGTAGTCATGGGGATGTGAAGTACGACATAGGAATTATAGTCAATAATATTGTAATAACTATGTGTGGTGCCAGGTGAATACTTGAAACATCAGGGAATCACTTTGTAGAAGTGCATGATTGTCTAACCACTATGCTGTCCACCGGAAACTAATCTCTCTATATAAAAGCCTAAGCCACCAACCAAGCAAACGACTGGTCACTATGATGCACATTGACCACCAGGGGGCAGACACTCAATGCAGAGGCTGCCCCCTGGTGGTCAGTACGCTCCCACAGCCAACCTCCCGCGGCCCCTCCCCCTGGCTGGCCAACCTCCTTGGCCCCGATCACAGGGCAGGCAGAGGGACCCCACCCGTGCATGAATTCGTGCACTGGGCCTCTCATACAGGATAACATTGAATGTAAACTGTAATTGAAAAATAACCTTTAGCCCTGGCCAGTGTGGTTCAGTAGTTAGAGTGTGGGCCTGCCCACTGAAGGGTCATGGGTTCGATTCCCAGTCCCTGTTGGGGTGTGTGTGGAGGCAACCAATTGATGTCTCTCTCTCTGTCTCTCTCTCTCTCTCTCTCCCTCTTTTCAAAAATATCAATGGAAAAAATATCCTCCCGTGAGGATTAACAAAAAATAAAAAATAATAATAAAAAAGACAAAGTTTTGGTCAAACATAAAAATTAAGACATTCCTCAAAATAAAACATTTAAAAAAAGAAGAAAAATAAACTTTAAATTAAAAAAAATCCAGGATAATCTTCCCATAAGACCCTTAACTTAACCAAGTCCACAAAGTCACTTTGACAATGAAAAGTAGCATAGTCCCAGGGTCTGGAGATTAGGACGCCGACATCTGGCGGGGAGGTGGGGCGGGGCGGTGGATATTATTCTGCTTTCTACGGCCAGGCTAGTCTGCCTCGTGCTGGAAGGATGCTAGGCCTGCAGGTGCCGAGGTGGGAATCTCAGCATTTGTGGGTGGATGGGAGCCGTGGGGCGGCGGGGGGCCCCTGGGGAAGCTGTGCTGGCAAGGAGGCAAGACCAAGCCTCAGGACTCCGGTCAGAGGTCAGACAGCGATGGAGCCAGCGAAGGGGCCTGGGGAGGTCAGGAGAGAGGTCGGAGGACGTCAAGGAGAAAGGGCAGCAGGAGGAGATTGTCACTTCTGCCCAGGCTGCTGAGAGGGTGAGGAAGATGACGACAGAAAGGTGTCCATTGGCTCTGGCCATGTGGGGACCACTGGGGACCTCGGGCGGAAGTCAGCTTGGGGTGGGTTAAGCTGGCGGGGCACACACACCGGTGTAGATGCTATTATTGTCCTATCAACCGTGGAGATGGGTGAAGGATGTATTTACACTTCCTTAAATTTAATAAAGTTCATTCTTCACAATGTGCAGCTGGGGCGTCCCCACCCTCGGTGTTTCTGGTACATGACTTGAGCTTTGTGCTTTGAAGCTAGGTTAGTCAGTCCTTACTAAGGAGCCCCTAGGGCTGTCCTGGCCCAGGAACTGGGGGTCTCCAGTCTCTCAGAGACAACAGCTGGGGTCACGATAGGCCTATAGTTGGGAACTTCCTTACACGGCTTGTCGTGTGTTGCTTTGTCAAACAAGACTGGTTATTGAGCTTGCCCCGAGCCTTGCCTTTGGACCATCCTTCCTTCTGGCCTTGCCCCAGATTTGTTCACTGGGTCTTTGTCTTTCTTGGCCGACTTCCCAGCATCTTTCTTCTTCTTCTTGTCGTCCTTGGGCGGCGTAGAGGCACTTGAAGAGCAGCTGCTACCACTGCTGCCTGGATAAGGTGTCGGACAAAAGGGCCATTTTATAATTTTAAAAGATGTAGATCGATGGGAGGTGAGGAAGTGGAGACAGTACCTCCTTCCTGCCCTCCCCCCAACCCACTATAGCCTCATTATGACCTTTCAAGCCGTAGACTAATTTTGTTCTTCCCTTTTATAAAGCCCTCTGTGGCTTCCTACTGCTGTTCGCTGTTACCAAGCCCAGCCTCAGGGCCGCTGCCCCAGCACCCCTCCCTCACAGCCCTAGGATGGGGAGCCCACTCCCTGTCTCAGGCAGCATGGGCAGTGAATAGGTTTAGGTGGGTGGGTGGGTTGCGGGGCAAAGTTTGCTGTTGGGCCTCACATCTTCTGAGGCTTAATCAGGCTGAGGCGCCCACCCCCGACCTCTAATTCTGACTGACTCATAGGATAGGGGCACCAGCTGGGGCAGCCACTGAAAAGCCGGCACTGCCCCCGGTATAACCACGGTGCTGCTGGTGGCTTCCTGGGTCCCCCCACGGCCACCACCCCCACCACCCACCGAAGAGCACAGTCCTTGTTTACCAGCACTATCACCCTCTCGGGCAGGGTGGGCCATTAACCATTTCCTGCCTGGAGCTGTGCAAAGGTAGAGGCTGAGCCATGGCTTCCACGTAATGTGGTGCCTGCCACCCTGGGCGGGGAGGCTGCCGGCCTTTCCCAGGTCTGTGCCCGCTCCGTGGTTTTCCAGGCGCGGAGCCTGGGAGCCCGGGGGCCTGGGGTGGGCAGGCAGGGCGTGGGCGGGCAGGGGGGAGGAAGGTATCAGCAAGCGGCTCAACTCTGCGGTCTGCCCTCCCCCTCAGGCTCCTGGTCACCAGCCCCAGAACCAACAGGACAGCGGGGCCCCTGCATCAGTGTTCCCTCACCCGGGATGAGCTCCTTTGCCAGCCTGTAGGTAAGTCAGGCCCAGCTCCAGGGAATGCTCCCAGGACCCTTTTCTAGGAGTCCCACTCATCCAGCCCAAACCATTCCAACCCCAGCCCCATCTAACCAGCCCCTCCCCCCAGGCTTCACCTCCCCCCCCCCCCCCCCATGGCTCACTTTCTATCCCAGTGCCCAATCCCATCCCAACCCAACCCTCATCCCCGCCCACCTCTCCTGACCCAATCCTAACAGCAAAAATCTACCTAACATGTATTGCGTGCTCCTAAGTACTTCTCCATCCGCTTTTAACCCTCAAAACTGTACCATTTGACCGAAGGGGAACCTCCAGCTCAGGGAAGTCCTCTGGTTACCAGTATGACTAAGGCCACACAAATAGCATTGGGGGCACCACAGATGCAAACCCAACTTGACCTGGTTCCAAAACCTCACCTGTCCCAACTGGTCACACCGCAGTGGCATCCATCCCTCCCCGCCCCATCTAACCGTGGCCACCCCAACATCCAGCACATATTAGGTGCGCAGTAAATGCTGTTTGAATAAATGAACGAACAAAGGAATGGGCCATATTCATTTATTAACCAAACTCTGCCCATCCCACTCAGTCCGACACACGGCACACACTCGCTGGTGGCCCCTCGGCTGTGTATGGCAGAACCCTTGTCTCTGTGAGGCACCGTGTTGAACAGCCTCAGAGGGGGACACAGTCCAGCAGGGTGACAGGGTGATCCAGTGGTTCAAAATGAGACCGTGTCCCCAGGCCCACATTGGGAAGGGAGAGGACGGAGCGACCGCATCTGCCCCTGGGGCAGTAAGGTTCCCCAGAGACGGCCTTTGAGACTGGAGGGTCCATCGTTCCTATAGCCAGTGCCTCAGCATCCTGCACACCTCCCCCGCGCTGCACACACTCACTCCTGCTTCTCTACCCATCTGCCCCGTCACACTGGGAGCCCTGGAGGAAAGCCCCAGTTGTGCCGGGCCAGCACAGCCAAGGGTTCGGTGAGCCTGAGGGGGGTGGGGGGTGGGGCGGGGGCAGTGAAAGATGTAGAAAAGACAGACAAAGAGAATAAGCTGGGTCTAGCAGGATCTCCTGTGCCTGGCTGAGGCCACAGAGAGAGAGACCCAGAAGGCAAGCTGAGGCTTTATTTTATAGCTAAAGGTAAACAAGGTCGTGGTCACCATAGTTACAATGTTCTTGGGAGTTTCACTTGTTTTGGCAGCACTTGCTGCACCTCCCACAGCCCATTAGCTTCCCAGGAAGGATCTAGGGAGCGTCATAAGGTCAAGCCTAATTATGCTAAGAGGGCTGTGCCCTCTAAGCTGGGACTTGTTTGTGGCTTTGCCAACAGGTCAGTCCGAGGCTTAACCCTATAGCCGCTCTACACCCCGTCTCAGTTATTTCTAAGTCCCCATCACCATCTGGCCAAGCCCTGTGTCCTCTCTGACCTGGGCTCCACGGCGGCCTTCCTGTGTCCCTCCCACCTTACCTGGACTTCACTGTTTCAGAGCATGTCCCCATCCCGAAGGGGAGGCACCGGGGCGTGACCGTTGCCCGGAACCACCACGGTGTTTTGGTGAGTGTGCGTGGGCAGGGGGCTGGAAGGCCTCAGGAGGCGGGCAATGACCCCTGTGGCAAACCCGTGTTCATGCCAGTCCTGACTGGCATGCTCTTCTCAGGGCCAAGGCCAGGTGTCTCCCTGGTGCCAACTCCAGGGCTGATCTCAGCTCTGACCCTGGCACCAACGTCTGCCCCTGGTGAGCGGTGAGCAAGCTGTTCCTGCATTCCCTGCCTGGTTGAGGCATGTGGTTCTGGGCAGCTGTGACTCAGGGGCCTGGGCTGGGGGTGACCCAGACTTTCCCTCTCCCTTACTCCCTCTCTCCCCCAGATCTGCATTCAGGTGGTGGCCCGGCGGCCCCACAGCCTCAGCTCAGAACTCACAGGCACCTGCAGCCTGCTGGCCTCCAACCTCAGTCACCAGGCCCTGGTCCCTTTCAACGACATTGGTAAGGATACTCGCTGGCCTTGGGCAGCTCTAAGGAGGTTTCCTTGAGTCTCCAAGAAGGGGCACCTGCCCATGGCAGATACGGAAGGACACAGGCCCAGAGAGGGCAAGTTGGGCCTAGGCCCGCCGTGGGCTGTGAGCTTGCCCCGAGGTGAACAAGGAGGCTGTCTGACTCTGAGCTCTTTCATGTGTATTTTTAAAGAAAATCTCCTGGTTCCTGAGGCACATGCGGATGCTGGAGACTGCTACAGGAACAAAAAAGGCAGCACTGAGAATACAGCCAGGCAGCGCCGGGCTCTGAAGGCCAAAGAGGAGGAGGAGGAAGAGGAGGAGGAGGAAGAGGAGGAGGAGGAAGAGGAGGAGGAGGAGGAGGAAGAAGAGGAGGAGGAGGGAGCTGGTGAGAAGAGGCAGATCTGGGTTGCTCTCTGAGGCTCTCAGAGCTGACGCCTAGGCTGGCAACTCCAGGGGTGAGAGCTGCCTAGGTCTGGGAGATGGGGAACAGTGGCTGGATTCTACAGGCCTGACCACCCCCAGCTCTGCCCCCCTCCATCTTACCGATGGGGAAACTGAGGCCCAGAGAGTGGGAGTGATGGGAGTGGCTCGCAGAGTCAGAGCCTGAGTAAGTCCTGGCTTTCTGGCAGCCTCTGAGACAAGGCTTCGCTGTTGGGAGCTTCACCAACTTCTTCCCTGAACGGAGCCCTTGGGGCTTGAATGGGGTGGGTGTCCTATAGGGCAGGGCATGCCACCCTCACTCCTGCCCCAGTTGCATGCCCACTCCGGACCTGCTCCCCGTCTTGGCCCAGGCACCGAGATCGCCATCGTCCTGGATGGCTCGGGAAGCATTGATCCCCCCGACTTCCAGAGAGCCAAAGACTTCATCTCCAACATGATGAGGAAGATCTATGAGAAGTGCTTTGAGGTGGGCTTCCCTAGAAGCTAGGCGCACACAGTCTGTTGCCGTCTATCGCTATGAACAAACCACCTCGAAACAGCTACCACTGATCTGCTCACAGTTCTATGGGTCAGCTATTTGGGCTGGGCTCAGCGGGGCGGTTCTTCTGCTGCTGGTCTTGCCTGAATGTTTTCCTGGAGCTGCAGGTGTCTGGTTACTTGACTGGAACTGGTTGGCCTCACTTGTCTGGCCATGTGTGGTCAGACAGCAGGTCAGCCCAACATTTTCATGGCTGCAACATTCCAAGAGGGCAAGACCTAATGCACACAAGCACTTTTCATGTCTCTGATTGTATCCCATTTGCTGATATCCCAAAGGCCAAAGAAAGTCACATGATGAATAGGAAGGGGAGAGGGCGTACACAAGGACATGGGTTCAGGGAGAAGTCTGCGATCCACTGGGAGCCGTCACTGTCACATCTCCCTCTGCTTTAGCACCTCCTCTTGCCTTCAATAAGGAGGAATGAGTGGATTCTTCCTCAGCATCCAGGGGGAGCCATTCAAGGGCTTTGGGCATGGCGACCCTGCCAACCTCCTCCTCCCTCTGCCCCTCCCTGCAGTGCAGCTTTGCCCTGGTGCAGTACGGAGGCGTGATCCAGACTGAGTTTGACCTTCGGTACAGCCAGGATGTGATGGCCTCCCTCAGCAAAGTCCAGAACATCACTCAAGTGAAGGAAGTCACCAAGACAGCCTCTGCCATGCAGCATGTCCTGTGAGTGTGAGGGCAGCGGGAATTACCTGAACACCTACTGGGTGCTGGCTGGCATCCCTGCCCAGAGGCTTTGAGGTGTCATGCCTGGAGAGGTGGCAGGACAGAACGGTAAAGAGGAGAGGATCAGGGTTCTAGCTCCTCCTCGGTTGAGAGGAGAACGTGAGGTCTTTCAATCCAGCCTTGGCTGATGAATGACACCCCAGGACAGTCCTCCAGAGAGCCTTCTGTGCTCCTCTTGAGGGGGGCAGTGGAGCACAGTGCAGACAGTAGGGGCCTCAGTGGCCGGGCTGCCTGGGTCCACATCCCAGCGCCAGTCTGTACTTGGAGACCTGGGTGCCTGACCTCTCCCTGCTTGGTTCTCGCGTGTAAAATGGGAATAATAATAGCCCTTGCCTTAGAGCAGTGGTCGGCAAACCGCGGCTCGAGAGCCACATGCGGCTCTTTGGCCCCTTGGGTGTGGCTCCTCCACAAAATACCACGTGCGGGCGCGCACACGTACAGTGTGAAGTTGACTTAAAACTGTAAGTAAAGTTTATTAAGTTAATTTTAGGTTACGTTGTGGAGTGAAAGAAGATGTAGTGTCAAGGACTGTGAAAGGTATGTTGAGATAGTTTGGACATACAGAGAGGATGAACGAAAGGAGATAGACAAAACAAGTATACAAGATGAGTGTGGATGGGAGAGTTGGAAGGGGTCGACCTCATCGAACGTACCTCAATCAGATTGAGGATGTTTTTAGCAAAGGCCAGCTTAGGAGTACCCTAATTAAGTTAATAACAATGTACCTACCTATATAGTTTAAGTTTAAAAAATTTGGCTCTCAAAAGAAATTTCAATCGTACTGTTGATATTTGGCTCTGTTGACTAATGAGTTTGCTGACCACTGCCTTAGAGGATTCTGTGAGGATTAAATAGGTTAAAAACGCATACAGGGCCTATAGCAGCACCTGGCACATAAGTGCTTTGTAAATATTAGCCACTGTTCTTTTTTTAAAAAAATATATTTTATTGATTTTTTACAGAGAGGAAGGGAGAGGGATAGAGTTAGAAACATCGATGAGAGAGAAACATCGATCAGCTGCCTCCTGCACACCCCCTACTGGGGATGTGCCCGCAACCAAGGTACATGCCCTTGCCCTTGACCGGAATCGAACCTGCGACCCTTGAATCCGCAGGCTGACGCTCTATCCACTGAGCCAAGCCGGTGAGGGCGCCACTGTTCTTAATGTCATTGTTATTCCCACACACATTTATTCCCTGTGCTGTCCAGCACCTTTCTGTTGGGAGCAGGTGCCCCGCCCCCACCCAGCCCTGCTGTCCCCACCCCTCCTTGGGCCTTTGTTCCCCTGGGAGGGCACCTTAACCCTCTCCAATTCTAAAACAGGTTTGTGAATAAAATCTCCCCAAGCTCAGCCGTCTCCCTGGCCAAGTCCTCCGCTTCCTTTACTCTCCCTACTTAGAGACAACATCTTCTCACCAAGCCACGGCTCCAGAAAAGAGGCCTCCAAGGTCATGGTGGTGCTCACCGATGGGGAGATATTCATGGACCCCCTCAACCTCACGACTGTCCTCAACTCCACAAAGATGCAAGGTGTTGAGCGCTTTGCCATTGGGGTAAGAGCCGGGAGCAGGGGGCGCCTCCTAAGTCTCTGTAGGGGAGGAGCCAGGGTTCCTGGGAGGGGCTTCTGTAAGCAGCTTACCAAACCCTGTGCTGTGCACACTCACCAACTTCTTTTCTCCCGCCTCACGCCCAGGCAGCACACCCCTCCCACAGAGGCTCATTTCCCCAGCATGGTCAGAGCTCACTTGCTCAGAAGTGATGGGGAGAGCAGTGGCAACCCAGGGAGCCCACATGGGGGTGGGGTGGGGGGGTGGTCCTAGAGGAGCTGGTGGTGGGCTGAGCCTTGGAGGACAGACAGGAGTAACTGGCCGAGGGTCCAGGGGAGGAGGGGAGCGCGCTGCAGGCAGAGGGAACAGCGTGTGCAGAGGTGAGAAGGAGCCTGTGTGTTCAGGACAACACATGTAGACTGGTAAGACGACGGTGTGTGTTTGGGGGAGAACAGGGAGCAGGAAAAGTAGGGGGCAGGAGGCCGGCCCTCTGCTTGGGCCTGGAGAGGCCTCGGGGTTCAGGAAGCAGCCAGCCCTCAGGTGTGGATCCACTGATCTGGGGCCTCTGTGCAGGTGGGAGAGGCATTTACGAAGCCTAAGACTGAGAAGGAGCTGAAGCTGATCGCCTCGCACCCCCCGGAGACCCATGCCTTCAAGGTGACCAACTACGCGGCGCTGGATGGGCTGCTGAGCCAACTGCAGCAAAGTATCGTTCCCATGGAAGGTGAGGGCTCCAGGGCCTCGCCACCCTGTGGCTGCCCCCTCGGCATTCAGCTGGAGGTCCGAGGCCTGCCCTCCAGCCCCACCCCGGGGCTCCCTCCTTGTGACACTCAGGGCAACTCCCATCACCTCTATGAGCCTCGGCTGTTCCACCTCTAAAAGGGCGACCGTATCCCCAGGCCTCTGCCCTTCCCTGAGTCTCCACGCAGCTCTGATGAGCTGACCTGGTGCTGGAGAAAGAAGGATGACTGGGGCGTGGAGACCCAGGCCCCGAAGGAGGGAGGGAACTGCCCAGGCTCTCGTCCGGTAGCTGCTAAAGCAGGACCCACATCTCTGCTCTCAGCTTGGTTCTGTTCCCATCACACCAAACGCAGTTCCGTCTGGGAGTGAGGCCAGGCTGGACCCTTCCCTGGCTTGGTTGCTCCCTCCACCTTGCCCAGCGCAGTGTCTCACTGGGTGTCGTGGCTTCCAGGCACGGTCGGAGAAGCCCTCCACTTCCAGCTGGCACAGGTCGGGTTCAGCGCCCAGATCCTGAATGAGGTACGTGGCCAACTCAGCATGAGACAGGCTCGCCATGGAGGAGGGCCCAGCAACACCCAAGGACTAGGGGCCCTGGGCACAGAGCAGCTCTGCCTCCTGGTCCTGCCTCTGAAGGAGCCATGTTAGGATAACGGAAAACTTCTGCTTGCTCGCCCTCTTCTGGGACCCTGAGGTAGACAAAAGAATGGCCGTATTCATCCCGGGGGTCGTCTTGTTCTGTGTGCTCCAGGATTGAGCTGTTCTTAAAATACACACTGGAGCAGGCTTTGGCCTGGGCCAGCTCGCCAAGTTGCCTACTTCTCCCCACCAGAGGCACTGTTCCCACAGGTGGGCCGAGATGCAGGCACGGAGGGCAGGGCGTGGCCCTCGCGTGGTAGAAGCACGGTTAGGACTGTCTCTCAGCCCAGGCTGGGCGACCTGGGAGGAAGGAGACAGCACTCTCTTCTCTGTCTCCTTTTAGTGCTTCCTTCACGCCTGGGCCAGGATGGCTTCTGCTCTGGGGTTGGTATTAGAGGGAAGGGTCATGGGTTCAAGGCAGGAACCAGTGTTTGCCATCTCACCTTCCTCCTGCATGGCTGGCCAGGTGGGCCTGGGGCCACGGAACACCCCTGTTTCCCCCACAGCACAAGGTTCGCTGTGCTGGCAGTAGACCCGAGGTCACAGCGGCTGACCCCGGGGCACCTCCAGTTCAAATGGCCTCCTCGTTCCCTGCAGGGGCAGCTGCTGCTCGGTGCTGTTGGGGCCTTTGATTGGTCCGGGGGCGTGTTGCTCTATGACAGGCACAGCTGCCGGGGCCGCTTCCTGAACCAGACGGTGGTGGACAGCAAGGCTGGGAAGCACAGCTACCTGGGTGAGGGCGGGGCACGGAGACCCCCTGGGTGAGGGTGGAGCCAGAGACCACCTGGATGAGGGCAGGGACACTGAGGTTTCACCTTATGCTGCACTAGGCTTCCATGGACAGAAGGATGGACCCTGGTTAGGGATCTGGAAGCTGAAAATTAGGGCTCCTGGGAGGCGACAGGGCCTGCTCAGTACCGGATTCAAGGGGTGGTCCTGGATGGCTGCCTAGGGAAGGCGGGGCCTCCCTCCACCCCTCACCTCAGTCCTTACGTACCGGGTGTGCGGATGTGTGTATTTAGAGCAGAGCTGCATACATGATGATGTGTGTATGTCACATCTGTGTGGTGGGCAGGAGTGTGTGACCAGCAACAGTGGGTAAGTGGGAGAGCTCCCTGATGCCAATTTTAAGACGATGAGACTGACAGTCTCCTTTTTGTCTTCCTGCGCGGGGCCACTTCGAAGGCCTGGCTGGGAAGGTGGTGGGGGAGGGGGTGGGGGGCAAAGGCGTGGCCCGTGGAAGCCTCTGATCACAGCCACACCACCCCTGCCCCAGGTTACTCGCTGGCCGAGCTGCACAAGGCCAGTGGCTCCTCCTACGTGGCGGGGGCTCCCCGGCACAAGCATCGAGGGGCCGTGTTTGAGTTCCCGAAGGAGGGCGGAGAGAACGACTTCGTGCCAGTGCTGGAGGGAGAGCAGGTGCCTGCCGGGGAGGGACCGCGGACCCTCCATTACAGATGGGGATCGGAGGCCCGAGGGAAAGGGATGGGCTCCAGGGCACACCGTGGGTGGGGGGCCCAGCCTGGGCAGACCTCAGCGCCTCTGCCCTGGCCCGGCGTGTCCGACTGCCAGCGGTGCCCGCATGGGGGTCGGGCTGCTCTCCCAGGCTCCTGTGTTCCCCTGGAGAGCAGATCCATCTGGAATGACCCAGAGTTGGTGGCCTTGCTGAGGGGCGGGGGCGGGGCCTCCCGCCGCCCGGTCAGCGAGCTCTCCCTGGGCCATAGATGGGGTCCTACTTTGGCTCTGAGCTGTGTCCTGTGGACATCGACATGGATGGAACCACGGACCTCTTGCTGGTGGCGGCTCCGTTTTACCACGTTCGCGGACAGGAAGGCAGAGTCTACGTGTACCGCCTGAACGAGCAGGTGGGAGAGTCTCCGTCTTCGCACGCTTGTGCAGGCTGCGGCCACTGGCCTGGCCCAGGGGTGGCAGAGGTGGAATCACCCTGACCGCACTCTTGCCTGGGAAGGCAGTGATGGAGAGGTGCTCAGGGTGGACAGCGGCTCACTCCCCCACCCCCGTACCCCACTTCCTCATTTTCCCCACCTCATCATCTCCTATTGGTGGTGACAACACCCGAGTGGCAGCAGCTGGTAAAGCATAAAGCAGGCTTTGCCTATTAGCTCGCCTGTTTCTCTGGCACCTGGAGGTAGCTGTCACTCACACCTTACAGGTGAGGAAGCGGAGGCCCAGTGATGCTAAAACTTGTCCAAGTTCACATACAAGTGTGGGGAAGAGCCAAGACCAGAACCCCGGCCTCCCAACGGCCAGGCCAGTGCTGCCAACTGCGGGAGCAGAGGGCACAGGACCCGGCTCTACCACTCGCCCACTGTGCCAGCTTGGGAAGGCCCCTGCCTTTTCTGAGCCTCAGACTCCCTGCCAGGGACTCTGCGTTGACAAGCCCAGGGAGCAGGCCTCCCGGGTGGCGATGGGCTGGGCCCCTGCGTGCCCGTCTGGAGGGCTGAGCTGCCTGCTTGCTTTGCAGGGCGGTTCCTTCTCCTTGGCACGCACGCTGAGTGGGCAGCCTGGGTTCCCTGATGCCCGATTTGGCTTTGCCATGGCAACAGTGGGGGACATCAGTCAGGATAAGCTCACGGACGTGGCCATCGGCGCCCCCCTGGAGGGTTGGGGGGCAGGTGATGGCGCCAGCTTTGGCAGTGTGTACATTTACAACGGATGCCCGGACGGCCTCTCTACCAGCCCCTCGCAGGTAACCCGCAGGGCTCTCTCCTGCCTCTCCTCTGGGACAGTGACCCCCCCCCCCCCCAGATGTAATGGCCTGAGCCCCAAGTCAGCTCCAGGTCTAAGTGCCAGGCAGTCCCACGGGGTTGGGGGTCCCCAGTGCAGGGCAGAAGTCACTCAGGCTGGTGGGAGGTTCCCGGCGCATCCGGGGGGGCAAGAGCTTGTGGCAACATCTGACTACCCTGACCTGTACCTCCCTTCCTTGGCATTCCCGGCTGGGCCTGCCTCAGCCCCTCCTCCCTCTCCGGCTGGCCCTTCTCTGGCTCCTAACCCCGCCCAACCCTCCGTGCCTGAGCGCTCACCCCCAGGGCTCTGTTGCCAACCTCTCATGCTATATCTTTTTTAAGTAAAATGATAGACACATACTTGTTTTTTAAAAATATATTTTTATTGATTTCAGAGAGGAAGGAAGAGGGAGAGAGAGAGAAACATCCATGATGAGAGAGAATCATGGATGTGCTGCCTCCTGCAAGTCCCCCACTGGGGATTGAGCCCACAACCCGGGCATGTGCCCTTGACCGGAACCGAACCTGGGACCCTTCAGTCCTCAGGCCGATGCTCTATCCACTGAGCAAAACCGGCCAGGCTCATGCTGTATCTTTTATGGCACTTTCACCCCCTCCAACTGGCTTCTCTCCTCAGCTTCAGTCCCATCTGTCCAGCTGCCTCTTGGGCACCTCGCCTGGGCGGCTCTGAAGCAGGTAACTCTCCTGCTGCCCAACAGAAAGCAGCCTCTTCCCCTGAGACCTGCGGCTCCTCTGCCCCCCCCCCCCCCCCCAGACACCCAGATAATCCCAGGCGCCCACACTGGGCACAGTCTGTCAGCCCCGTGTGCATCCCAACATTCCAGCTCTCTCCCAAGCCTGCCCTCCTGCCTCCTCCTCATCTCCTGCCTCCTCCTCATCTCCTGCCCTGTATGTGATTAGACACCCCCAGCCCCACATCAAGCCTCCTTGCACCCAACTCCCCTCTTGTTCCCAGCACTGGCCCCCAGCTGTTTCCTTAGGCCACCCTGCTTGGCCACGCCTCTTCCTGCACCTCCCCTGTCCAGTCCCACACGCCCTTCCCGGCTCCATCCAAACGCCTCTTCCCTGGGAGACCCTGCCCTGCTCTTTCCAGCTTCTACATAATCGAGGGGTCCCCTTGAGAGGTGGGGACTGATGCTGATTTGCTGATTGAGTCACATCCAAAGGACTCTTTTCCCTCCCCATGCCTTGCGTCTCTCCCTCCACAGCACATCAGAGCCGCAGCGGTCGCCCCCCGACTCTACTACTTCGGCATGTCTGTGGACGGTGGCCTGGATGTGACCGGCGATGGCCTTGCTGACATCACCGTGGGCACCCTTGGTCGGGCGGCTGTGCTCCGGTAAGGGTCTGCCCTGCCTTCTGGGGTCCCAGGCCCCTGCCTCACCCACCTGCTCTGCCCTACGGGATCCCATGAAGATGCCAGGCACTGATGGAAGAGAGTAGGTGGTTAGGGGCCGGGCTCTGGAGTCTGCCCATCTGGGTTTGAACCTCCGCTCTCCCTTCACGCTGTGTGCTTGGGCAGTTGGTGAATTCTAAGTCCCAACTTTCTCATCTATAAATGGGAATAATAGTAGCACCTACCTCACGGAGTTATGAGGCTCCATTGAGAGAATCCATGCCCAGTATTTAGCACAGTGCCCCATGGTGCCTGCCATTATTGTTATTGTGAATGTCAGCGCTCCTGTGCCCGTCCCTGAGCGAATGACCAAGTACCATGGCGACAAATAAGCTGACGGGGCACGATCTGCCCTGTGCTCTCCACTGAGCCCCAGACGTGGCTCTCAACTCAACACCCTCGTGTTGTTGCTCGCAGGCATCTCAGAGTCAACATGTCTACAGCGGCCCTCGTCTTCTTAGTCTCCCCCAACCAGCCCCTCCCTGGGCTGCCCATCGCAGCAAATGACACCATTTGTTCAGGACAGAAACCCAGGAGTCATCCCTGATTCTTCTTTTCCCTCCCCTGCCGCCCGTCAACACGTTTTTGCTGTCCCTGCCTCGCAAATACCTCCCCCTACAACACACTGTCACCTCTCGCCTGGATCGCCGCCACGGCGTTCTCCCCTGCCCCCCTCCCTGTGCTCCATTCTCCACGCAGCAGCCAGCGATCCCTTCATTCTGCTGCTTAAAACCCCTCAATGGCTCCCACTTAGAGTGAAACCCAAATTCCCTACCACGGCCTGCGAAGTTCTCCACAACCTGCCCTGCCCCTCCTCCCTCCCCGTCTCTTGATACCCTCTGTCTCACTAGCTGCTCCTGTCATGCTGACCCCTGTGTTCCTCAAACCCGGCTCCTTCCTACCGCAGGCCCTTTGCACTAGCTGTGCCTCCTGCCTGGATCTTTACATAGCTGGCTCTCTCAGATCTCAACTTAGATGTCTCCCCATTAGTGAGGCTGCCCTGACTACCCAACCTAAGGAGCCCCCAGTCTCCATGACCTTATCCTCTTTTATTTTTATCATAGTCTTACCTGAACATAGTATTTTACTGTTTCTTCTTGTTTATTTGCTTGTTGTCTATTTTCCCACTAGAGCAGGGATTTGTCTCTTTCCCTGAAGACTCAGAACAGCAGTGGCCCATGAGAGTTGCTCGATAGTATCCATTGAAGGAATGAATGAGCCAGCACTGATACAGAAGACTGCGGTCACTTCTCACGGTCCTCTTTGTGTCTCGTTTAGCTCAAGACCTGTGGTGCGCCTGGCGGTGTCCGTCTCCTTCACCCCGGAGGCGCTGCCCATTGGCTTCAACAGCAGCGTGAACGTGAATTTGTGTTTTGAAATCAGCTCTGGGACCACAGCTGCCACGTCAGGTAACAGGCAGCCTAGCTGGCCCACCCAGTGCTGGGGTCATTCCTTGTTGGCTTCGGGGCAGGGAAAGAGGATGGGGTGGGTGGGGCTATGTGAGTGATGAGGTTCTGGGGTTTGAAATCCCTCTCTTTGGAGCTTAGCTCCTTTGACATTAGGTTCCGTTCAGGGTGAAGTGCCCTAGAAAAGGGTGACCTGCTGGGGAGTCCGCACTCTGCAGGGGTGTCTCTGACCCCATTGGGAAGAAGGACCTTGGAGCCCTTCCTCAGGTGTGAAGGGTTGAGTTTCTGAAAAAAGATTCAGGAAAGGGCAGCCGTTTCTCCATCCCCATCCACGGTGCCCACGGGTGTGCAGGGGACCCTGAGAAGGGCCCTTCCTCTTCCTCTCTGATTTACACCTTCGCCCCTGCCCTCCTCGCTATGTCTCCCTGGCCCAGGTGGGATGGGATGACCTGCCGGAGGTGGAGGCCTGGCCTCTCTTCCCATCCCTTCCTGGCACTGGTTGGGAGATTGCTTCCAGGAGGCAGAGGGTGGGCCCGGCTTTCGCAGCCCAGGAACTTCCTGGCAGCCCCAGAGCTCCTCTCCAGAGCCACCCATCAGCAAGAGTCCCCAAGGTGTTGAGACTCAGCAGCAGTCCCTGAATGTCTCTGGTTCCTGCAAATAAGAAAGCCCTCTCGGGGTGGGTGGCTTTCCTGCAGAAGGAGGCCGTTATCACATGCGGAGAGGAAATGACGGGCCTATCGGGTCCAGCTGTACAGGCGGAACGATTCAGGCCGCGGAGCCCGCACGGCTGCTGCTGAGCAGCTGTGTGACATAGGCAGGTGTCTTTCCCTCTCTGGTCCTGGTTTCTGTTCTGTACAGTAAAGGAGTTGGCCCAGGTAATCTGTAAGGTGCTTCCAGCTCTGCTGTCCAGGTGTTACTCTCTGGTTTCTCTCCCCATTCCGTGCTGTTTCCTCTCCTCCTCCATTTCTCCCCGAATCCCAGCCTCCTTCCTGAGTCCTCCCTCTCCTAGGGAAGAAAGCCCCCGCCCTGGGAATGTGCTGCTCTGGGTTGGGGGTTGGGACACGGAGGGACGCTAGCCAGGTGCCAGGAGACCATGAGAAAAGACCCTTCGAAGTGAAGAAACTCAGAAGTCCAGCCCCAGGGAAGCACCTGGGCGGGGCCACACGCTGGAGGGGCTCCCGGGGAGCCTCAGGCGGGCTGGGGGTGCTGTGTCTGGAGCTGGCCCCTCCCAGCCTCATCGGGAAGGTCTGGTCTTCACTCCCAGGCCTCAGAGGGACGTCTCTGAATTTCACGTTGGACGTGGATGTGTTGAAGGAGAGGAAGAGGCTGCAGTGCGCGGACCAGAGAACTTGTCAGAGCTGCCTTCGGGAGTGGGGCAGTGGGCCCCGTCTCTGTGAGTCCCGCCTGCTCAGCCCCACAGAGGGAGAGGTGAGTGAGGGGTTTAGGAAAGTCCAGAGGGGTCTGTGCTCTGATACAAGAACTGAGGGGTGTGCAATGAAGGGTATGTATCCGTCCACACAAACTAGACAATTAACATAACAGCCCAGCCAGTGTGGCTCAGTGGTTGAGCATTGACCTATGAATCAGGAGGTCATGGTTAGACTCCCGGTCAGGGCACCTGCCCAGGTTGCAGGCTTGATCCCCAGTAGGGGGTGTGCAGGAGGTAGCTGATCAAAGATTCTCTCCTATCATTGATGTTTCTATCTCTCTCTTCCTCTCCTTTACTCTCTGAAATCAATTTAAAAATATTTTAAAATATATATATATTTTTTAAAAATGATAGATCAGGAACCACATAATAGCAATGGGTGATGAAGTTAATTATGTTAGAAATCCAGATTAAAGAAATGTGCTGAAATTGAACACTAACTATATCTCTGAGCTTCCTAGCATCTGAACAGAAAGAGAAATATTCTAATTGCTGTTTATTCCTTTCCCCTGTCAGCTGACTTAAGAGTGGGGCTGAGGGTCCTTCTTCAAATCATTATCAGAAAAACTGAATGAGAGAAAGTAGAAATAGAAGACAAAAGTTATCATTTACGAAGGTTTCCACCTGACAAAGGTGTCTACAAACACTCACAGAAAATGTATGTCAGGACCCAGGGCCTGACTGGCCCTAGAACTTTGGACCTATAAGGATCATTTATTCCAACAACCTCATACGTTATGCTTCTAACCACACATCTGTCCCCACATCTGTTCCAGTTGTTACTAGGAAAGAGTTTCCAGTGAATCTGTGGCCTCTTTAAATAAAAGCATAACTACTCCTTCCACCGGGAGTCATGCTCACCTACTCTTCCTGGCTCGAAGCTTCTACCATGGCTCACATACAGAGAAGGGCAAATGCCATCCCCTCTAATATGTCCTTCATGCTGTTCTGTAAACACAGGTGTGACCATGAGTCATCCCTCAGTGCCTCCCGTTTGCTCTCTGAATAAAATCATCAAGTTTTTAAAGAATATATTGTTTTCTTAACATATATTTTTATTGATTTCAGAGAAGGGAGAGGGAGAGATAGAAACATGTATGATGAGAGAGAACCAGTGATCGGTTGCCTCCTGCACACCTCTCACCAGGGATCAAGCCCTGAGCATGTGCCTTGACCGGAAATTGAACTGCCACCTCCTGGTTCCTAGGTCAATGCTCAACCACTGAGCCACACAGGCTGGGCAAAGTTGTCAGTTTTTAACTCCTTAGGATTGGGGTGGAAACCAGAAGGAGTTATGAGATTTGAGAGCAGATCCAGGGATTTTTCTAATGCTCTTGGCAGCTTGGTTCAATGACAGCTTCCCTTCAGCCTGGCTTGTTGGGAAGAGGCTTAGGACTTCTGGCTCTCCACTGTCACGGTTTATTTCATGACTACACCGAAGTTAAAGGCATTCTCCTTGTCATCTTCTGCCCCACATCCGACTGCAACTCCACCTTCCTGGTGACTGCAGCTCTGTGAAGAGGACTGCTTCTCCAACATTACTGTCAAGGTCAGCTACCACCTCCAGAACTCCAAGGACCAGAGGAGCCATTCCCAGCCTGTCCTGGACATCTACAGTGAGCCCTCCGCCATCTTCCAGGTGACTGTACCCACAGCTGGGACCAGACCCTCCGGGGCACCATCCTCCAAAGCACCTGCTCCCCTAACTTCAAAGAATGTTAGAATTGGGAGGGTCTTCAGGCAGCATTTGGGCCCCTTATTGCACCCAAGGGCCTCCCTGGTGGGTAACCACGTCTCCAAACTAGTTCCTTTGTGTTCAGAGTGCTTGCTACATAATTAATGAAGCATTTGAACACACTGCCTGACTTGGCAAGGGTGTCTGATGACCGGGCGGTGGGGTCCCATGTGGGGACTGGACTGGAGCCACCCTGTCCTGCTGGGAGAGAGGATGCCCTTTGGCACAGCTGTCTACCCAGGTCCCACCTAATTTGCCCCTAACGGGAAGGTAGTGTCACAAGAAACTTTTCTCATTACTAAGGGAAACCAGAGAGGGAAAGCAAACAGTCATATTTCCTGACTCTATGATATCTAAGGTGATTTTTGCTTGTATCCAGGCTCTGGAATATTCTATCTGTCTACATTTAGAGAGTGTTACGGGGTATAGAAACGTCAGCAGGATCAAAGAAGTGACAACGTGAGCCTTAAAGAGTAATAATTACAGTCAGTTGGGATGAGTTGAGTCTCCAAAATTTGAACTATAAAGCCAACAGCTTTTCTGTTCATGTGGGCACAGAAAAGCTCAGGTAACTTAGTTCTAGGTAATCATAGGACAGTCCAGACTGTCCAGTATTTTTTACCCAAATGCTCTGTTAATTAAATTATATAAGATTTTAGCTCCAGTTTTGGTCAATAACTAATGTATTAATCACAAATAGTAAATAGAGCCCTGCCTGGGTAGTTTAGCTGCTTAGAGAGTCATTGTGATACTCCAAGTTTGCGGGTTCGATCCCTGGTCAGGGCATATACAAGAATCAACAAATTGATGTCTCTCTCTCTCTCAAAACAAAACAAAACAAAATAGTAAATAGAAATAAAAGAGTAACACAATCAGGGTGACTGTTTTCACTGCTCATCTGCCCAGGAATAGAGGGAATCAGGTTTGTCTATGAACAAAGACTGACATCTTAATTTTTTAGGCAAGAGACTTTATTTTAAATTTATAATAGTATATTTATTTTGTAAAGAATTAAAAATTTTTAATGTGTTTTTATGGATTTCAGAGAGGAAGTGAGAGGGAGATATAGAAACATCAATGATGGGAGAGAATCACTGATCGGCTGCCTCCTGCAGGCCCCAGTGTCCCTGATGCGGAATTGAACCGTGACCTCCTGGTTCATAGGTCCATGCTCAACCACTGAGCCATGCCGATCAGGCTAAATAATTTTTAAAAAAATTGGTATTGACAGCCCTGACCGGTTTGGCTCAGTAGATAGAGCGTCGGCCTGCGGATTGAGGGGTCCCAGGTTCAATTCTGGTCAAGGGCATGTACCTTGGTTTTGGGCACATCCCCAGTAGGGGGTGTGCAGGAGGAGGCTGATCGATGTTTCTCTCTCATCGATGTTTCTAACTCTCTATCCCTCTCCCTTCCTCTCTGTAAAAAATCAATAAAATATATTTTTTAAAAAGACAGCAAGTTAGATGAAAAAAAGATTGGGAGAATTAATGTAATAAAGTTTTGTCAATAAGCAGATGATCACTAATTATATATATATTTTAAAAATCTTTATTTTGGATTAAGTTGGTTTACTATAAAGTTATAAGCACACTCCAAAATAATCCCCATGCATTCTTTTTAAAAATATATATTTTTTATGGATTTCAGAGAGGGAGGGGTAAGGAGAGAGATAGAAACATCATTGGTGAGAGAGAATCATTGATCAGCTGCCTCTTGCACGCCCCACACTGAGGATCCAGCCTGCAACCCGGGCATGTGCCCTGACCAGGAATCGAACCATGACCTCCTGGTTCATGAGTTGATGCTCAACCACTGAATCATGCTGGCCGGGCTCCCCATACATTCTTTATCCAGATTTCCAAAATGTTAACATCTGCACGTCTTGTTATTCACATTGCTTTACCATTCTTTCTCAATATATATAGACAGTACATATACATATATACAAATTACACACATATATACATTTATATTTCTGAACCGTTTGAGAGTAAGTTATAGATTTGATGCCTTCCCCTCCAGTATTCAGTATCTACTTCCTAAAATCAAGGACATTCTCTTACAAAACCTCAGTACAATGATCAAAATCAGGAAATAATAATAAAATACTATTACCTAATTTATTTAAATCTTATCAGTTGTCCTATTAATGTCCTTTATTGCAAAAGAAAAAACTTTTTCTGCCGGTCCGGCATCATTTATTGCATTTTGTCATCACTTATCTTTGCTCTCCTTTAATTTGGAGCAGTTTCTCAGTCTTTAATGACTTCAACATTTCCGAAGGATACAGGCCCCAGTTATTTTGTAGAATGTTTCTCAACTTGAATTTGTCTGATGTTTCCTCACGATTAGATTAGATTGTGCATTTTGGGCAAGAATATCATAGAAGTGAAGTTGGTCCTTCTAGGTGTCATGTCAGGGGCACACTGCTTTGTCACACCACTGGTGCCGTTTCCCCTGGTCATGAATAAGTATCTTATAGGCGATGCTTGGCGATTATGAATGTATCCTGTTTAACATCCATTCATGATTCTTACCTGAATCAATGATTACTTTGATGGTTTGGCAAAGACATTTTTTACTCCACTGATAAAATGGACGAGGAGGCGTGATTTGGTATTAGTTTAAGCACACAGATGTTTTCAGAGAATGAGTTCTAGCTGGGAGCTTAAGGTAGTTTAACCTTGCTCACGCTCACTGGGTTTGGGTGAAAGAGAGCAGGCTACTTGTCTATATTAAAAACAAAACTAGAGAAAATCCAAAAAACTTTGCCCCAAACTATTGACCCAGTCGGAGTGTCAAGCTCTGACTTCTGCAAATTGCATCTCCAGTCTCCAGGAAGTGGGAGGTTTCCTTTGTAACTCTGGCTCCATTCCCGCTTCAGGCCCTGGGCAGAGAGTCCTTGCGTAAGCTGCTGATGCGGTCACTGGCTGCTGGGGAGAGAAATGCAGAGATTTCCCAGTTAAGGAGCTGGCTGTGTTTCCTCATAATAAAAAATGAACCCACCCCTAGCTGGTCTGGCTCAATGGATAGAGTGTCGGCCTACGGATTGAAGGGTCCCGGGTTCGATACCAATCAAGGGCACATGCCCAGGTTGCAGTCTCCATCCCCAGTGGGGGGCCTGCAGGAGGCAGCCAATCAATGATTCTCTCTCATTATTGATGTTTCTCTCTCTCTCTCCCTCTCAGAAATCAATAAAACAAACAAACAAACAAAAACACCCGGATTCTTTAGAAACTTTGATTTTCAACCTGTATAGGGCTTTTCAACTTTGACTGGGCCTGTGGACCCTCTGTGACTCTCTGAATTAGTTTGGTTTAGTGTCGGAATGATTGCAAGGGGAATATTTAACCCCCAGAGACTACTCACGGAATCAGAGGGTGTGCAGGACTGGATCTTGACAATATCTAATTAGGCGTCTTCCATTTGTGCCCCTGCGGTTCCTTACCTCTACTTGAAAGGACTAAGAAAACTCTTCTTCATATAGGTTTTCCTCCCCAAAATTTCAAAGTACACAGTGAGTTGTGAGTGTTGGAGCTTCATTCTGCTGATAGAAATGTGACAGGCTCTCCCACCATTCCATGGAGGTCACCCCATTTTTTACCTTGGCCAGAGACCTGACTCATGGTGTACCTGTGTTGTAGGACCGAGCACACCCCCTACCTGACAGGCTGTCACTTGCCATCTGTTACCTGACTGTTCCTCCTACCGCTGCCAGAGCAAGGACTGTCACAGTCACAGCCATGTGGACGCAGCCCAGCCTGTCCAGCATGTCCTGCGGAGATCACCAGGGAAGGCTGCGGGGATGGTGGGGTCCCTGGGCTAATCCTGCCCCCGTCTCGTTACAGCTGCCCTACGAGAAGGCCTGCAAGAATAAGCTGTTTTGTGTTGCTGAGTTACAGCTGGCCACCACCTCTCCGTGAGTCGGATCCAGTCATCACAGTTTCTGTAGTAAACTTCCTCCTGACTTACCTGCACCGACCATTCCCTCTCCTTCCCCTCATGGCCCACAAATGGCTTTGCATTTATTATCTCATTGCTTCCCCAGCCATCCCATAAGGGAGGCAACACAGAGATCTGCTTTCCCATTTTACAGATTAGAGAACAGAATCAGTAGTTGGGAGCCCGCGTGGGGTCACAGGGGTCACCTCGTAGACTTGAACCCAGGTCTCCGACATCCTGGGAAATGCTGTTTTCATAAGCCTGTGTCAGTTAGAGGCAACCTCTTCCCCGACTCACCTCTTAATCAAATTACTTAATTCAGTAAATGTTTATGGAGCGTCTACTCTGTGCCAAGCACTCCAGGCGCTGCAGATACAGCAGTGAACAACACAAAGAGCCCTGCCTTCCTGCTGCTTTTAGGGGGAGAAGATAACAAATAAGTAAATATTATGTTGTCAAGATGTACTATGAAGATAAGGTAGGGAAGGCGGGAGGGAGTACGGGCTGGAGGTGGGGTGGCAGTTTTGAACAGAGTGGTCAGGCAAGGGCTCGCTGAGGAGGCTTTTTGGTACACCCAGGAGGTCGAGGAATGACTATGTGGGTATTGGATGGAAGAGCAAGTGCCAATACCCTGGATGGGAGGAATGGCCAGGACCTAGCAGTGGTTGCAGTAGCATGAGGAGAGAGAGGCAATGTGTGGGCAGGGGACGGTCACCCCGGGCTGCACAGGCCTTCTTCCATGGGGCTGTTACTGGGAGCTGGGAAGCCAGAGGAATGGATGATCTTTCATTTGTCACCGGGTCATTCTTGCTGCTGTGTTGAGAATAGACTGTAGGAGCAAAGGTGGAAGCAGGGAGCTAGCAAGGAGCTCTTACAATAACTCAGGGGAGAAGGGATGGTGCCTTGGGCCAGGGTGGTAGCAGTGAAGGTGTTATGTTCTGAAGTTAAAGCCCATAGGATTTGATGACATAGTGGAGGTGGGGAGTGAGGGAAAGAGAGGGGTCTAAGAAATCTTTCAAGGCTTCAGCCTGAGCATCTAGAACTGTGCTGTCCAATTTTAATTTAAATTAAATAAAATTAAAATTTTAGCCCCTCAGTTGTACTGTGCACATTTCAGGTGCTCAGTACCCACGTATGGCTAGTGATACGGCACAGCACAGCAATAACCACTCCCATGACCGCAACAGTTCTAGGACGGCAGTGATGCCAAGAACTGAACTGGGGAAGCCTTTGGAAGAATGACTTTGGAAGGCAGGGTGGGGAGGAAGAGATCACGAGTTTGGTTTGGGACGTATGGTGGTCTTAAGTGCCCTCCCAGCTACCAGTGCTGCGTATATAACATGGTACTGATGGCCAGTGCCTAGACGTTTGCAAGACTTGTGTTTCAGATGTGCATGGCTTAGTGCTGCCCATCTCAGTTGATAAGGATCCAATTCAAGACGTCTGAGTGCTTTGGAATCCAGCCTAACAAGCAGACACAGCTGCTTCCAACAGGGAATTAATGAAACCAAGCACTGCCCTCTTAGCCAATGTGTGTGAACTAGAGACACAGCACACACAGCTGGCCCTACATCACCCCCTAGTGTACATATGTAGCAAGCAGCCTCTTTGTTTTTCAAAAGTATTATTAAGCCTAATCTTTAGCATCCAAACACTTTAGTGGTTTTTGACCTTGAGGACATAGATCACCCAAAGAATCTAAGGCAGTGGTCCGCAAACTGCGGCTCGCGAGCCACACTCGGCTCTTTGGCCCCTTGAGTGTGGCTCTTCCACAAAATACCGACTTCTACACATGGGCCACGAAGTTTCAATCGCACTGTACGAGCACGCCCGCACGTGGTATTTTGTCTGTCTCATACCCACTGTCACTTTAGTGTTGTGAGTGAGGGAATCTGGCACAGGGAAGCTACTCCATAAATAGATATGAAATGGGTGGATTTGTGTAAGGGAGTGCCTTGCCTATGGTCACAGAGAATTGGTAACAGAAAGAGGATTTAGATCCAATTCTCCCAATTCCTTTTTGAGGTTGTTAGATCTCAGGCAAATTAGTGAGCCTCTTTTGGCTTCTGTTTCCTTCTCTATAAGATGAAGAATAACTGTCCTATTTCATAGGGTTATTATGAGGATACACTGAGCATGTGAAGCATTTAGCACAGTCCCTGGCACATGGAAAGGACTAAATAAATGGTAGTCATTATTATTATCTCACGCAGCAACTGAGGTGGGTGTGGAGGTCCAGGTGTTTGCTTATGTTAAGGGGAAGAAAATCTAGGCTAAATATATCCTTTAGGCAATTTACCTAAGAAGTGAGTTGAATGTGTTATTGCACTGCATCGAGGTTTTTACAGAATGAACTGGTAACACTTATCTATTTGCTACCCTGTGCAGGACGGAATTGGTGGTGGGTGTCACAAAGGAGCTGACAATGAACATCAGCCTAACTAACTCTGGGGAAGATTCCTACATGACAAACATGGCTTTGACTTACCCCAGAAACTTACAGTTTAAGAGGATACAAAAGGTAACTATGACAGCAGTTTGGGAAACATGCCACTCATGGCTTTTCCTCCCTGCATACTCTCTTTTTCTATGGCAACCTCCAAACTGCCTCCAGCTTCATCTTGGTCCATTCAACAAATGATTTAAATCAACGGGAGTGGCTCAGTGGTTGAGTGTCAACCTATGAACCAGGAGGTCATGGTTCGATTCCCAGTCAGGGCACATGCCCGGGTTGTGGGCTTGATCCCCAGTAGGGGGTGTGCAGGAGGCAGCGGATCAATGATTCTCTTTCATCATTGATGTTTCGCTCTCCCTCTCCCTTCCTCTTGGAAATCAATACAAATATATTAAAAAATAAATTAAGTGGATGAAGCCCCTCCAACCAACTACATGTCATGGATCCAGTCATGCCATTCTGTCTCACAAACCTTCAATGGTGCCATTTGCCGCACAATCACTCCTCCCTGCCGCAGCCTTTCCTAACCCAGGTTCTGAGAGAGAAGTAATCTCTAATAACTTAGCTGGGACTAAAATGTAAAGTCTGCCCTGCCATTCATCAGCCTGGGATTGCAGATAGGAAGCCAGCTGCAAGATATTAGGAAATGGTATTTTTCCCAAGGACACCCTGCAGCTATATATAAAGTATCATAACATTGAGCAACTGTGTTCTCTAAAGTCTTTGGAAATCAGAATCTTTGCTGTTTGAAGTTGTATCTGTAATTATGAAACCGCCTCACGCTTGCCTGGAGAATCTAAGTCACTTTGACAAAGAGAAGCAGCCTGTATCGTCCTGAGGTACAGAGCTGCACATATAGCATTTCTGGACAAAACTTTTCACATCCATCCGAATAGTTCCCAAGGACATGGGTCCCTGGCTCCACTCCGCAGTGCAGACCTGATGTTGAGTGACCCTTTACACACAGCCCTGCTTTATTTTTAACCTATCAAAACACTGCTTCATTGACATCTCACCTCACCACCACCCTTCCCCAGAGTCCTTCAGTAACTGTCTTTTCCTTTGTTTGGTAAGACACACCAATGAAGTTTTCCTCTATAATGAATCAATAAACCCAGCTTTGTCAGACTAGTCTGTCCCTGAAGGTCTTAGTCTATTTGGCCTAAGACAGCATCCATTATATGGAAAGAATGAAATGATCTCCTGAGCATCCAGAATGGAACTGGTGATGCACCCTCCTTGGAGAATTAAGAAAATAGTAGTTAAAAAAAAAAAAAAAAAGCAGATGCTCAAATTATTCTCTGTATTCAGTGGTCCCAATGAGGAACCATGATTGAAAAAGGCAGCGTGGTGGTGCTGGGGCTCATGCTAGCCTTCTAGTCCATCTGTTATGTTAAACTTGCATTGGCCCGAGGCCCAATTCAAATGTCTCCTTCCCTAGGAAGACTTTCATTCATCCAAGTTGAAATTCATCTTCCTCTACTGCTGTTCTCTGTACCTCTCTCACAGAACCACTCCTTAGGCCTAGTATTTAAATTCCTCAACCATCTACCACTGAGCCCTCCTGCCCAGCTTGCGAGGAAGACAGGGACCAAGTCTGATTTGTGTCCTCAGCTCTGGGCAAGGTGTCTTGAATGAGGAAAAAAAATGAGCAAGTGATGCTAAATTGGTGTGAGAAAACTGCTTTTTCTTTTTTACCTTTTAAGAACAGTCTTTTCTGTGTTAACAGCCTCCTTCCCCAGATATTCAGTGTGATGACCCTAAGCCAGCTGCTTCTGTCCTGGTCATGAAGTGCAAGATTGGTCACCCCATATTCAGGAGGGCATCTGTGAGTGTTTTGATTGGCTGACTTGTCTCACTACCCTAGAGCTGGTGTCTTCTACTTTCCTGTCTCACTGGAATCTCAGTTGTGGTCCCATGCTTCCCTTCACTGTACAGTCAATCCATAGCTGTGCTTAGAACTGCCAAGTCGGCTCTGAAAGTAGGGAGAGGTGGGTGGGGGAATACAGCCAGACAAATTGTTGGCTCACTACAGAGTGAAATAGCCCGTAGTATGGAAGGGTCATCAGACCCGAAGTTGTTAGTCCTGAGGTGAGTCCCTGATGTGCCACGGAGGATCTCTGTGCTGTGAGAATCTCTGATATGTTTGCTCAGTTGTAAAGGGGAATAAGAAGGTGACATGGAATAGCAAATGTGGAAGCCTATGATACAAAAATGTGAGCAATATAAATTATTTCCCAGGTCTGTCTCGTTAGTAGGAAATAGTTTGAATTGTGAGTGGTATAGAGAAGTGACTTTTTTTTCTTTTTTTCAAAATAGGCAAACTTTTCAGTAGTTTGGCAGCTAGAGGAGAGTGCCTTCCCAAACAGGACAGCTGACATCACTGTGACAATCACAAAGTAAGTAGTGTCTGTGCCACAGCAGGCCCAGGCTATGGCCCTGGAAGAAATCTTCCTCCCACGTGCCCGAGAAGGGGACTTCAGTGAGCCCAGAGAAGGCACCTGTGTCCCCATGGTTATCAAATATATTTAAACATTCTTTTATTGACACACAAAGTAAAACTATGGTATAGTGTGGAAAAATGAGCCTTGGACTGGAGTTCTAATTCTGGTTCATTTAATTTTGGGGAAGCTTTCCCCTGCAAAACCTCTATGTTTGGGGGTAGGATAGGATATGGTGTTGGGAAAGGGTTCTTGAATACAGGTGATACTGTCCCTCAGGGGCAATTCCTGAAGATATATATTTAAAAAAATATTTTTATTGATTTCAGAGAGGAAGAGAAACATCAGTGATGAGAGAGAAACATTGATTGGCTGCCTCCTGCACACCCCACACTGGGGATTGAGTCCGCAGCAACCCAGGCATGTGCCCTGACCAGGAATTGAACCGTGCCGTCCTGGCTCATAGGTCGACGCTCAACAACTGAGCCACGCCGGCAGGGCTACGTGAAGATATTTTTGACTGACACGACATGGGGGGGTGGGGAGGGGTCCTACTGATATCTAGTGGGTAGAGACCAGGGAAGCTCTAAACACCTTACAATATACAGGACAGCCTCTCACAGTGGATTATCTGGCCCAAAATGTTAATATTGTTGAGGTTGAGAAACCCTTCTAAATCAATTTCTCCAAGTCTGGACTTCTAGCAACTCTTCTGCACTCTGCTTATTTCCAAGAGTCTTTTCTTATCTGACCCCTGATGACCCTGGGAAGCCAAGGTATAGAAGCAGCCATATGTACAAAGCAGGTGTGCTGTGCACTGACACTCTTATTTCTTAGTGCCAATGGAAGAAGCTCTTTGGTCAGAGAGACCCACAGACTTCACTTCAAGCATGCCTTCATTGCAGTTCTTCCCAAGTAAGCACCTCCAAGGGGCCAACACCTGGGGGACAGTTTGGAGCATTCTCTCTTGTGGGTGGAACTGGTGGGCAGGCTGGAAATGGGGACTGCCTTTCTTTGAGAAGAGGCTGCTTAAAACCCAGGCTCCCATCGATCTCTAGGACACTAACAGAGGTTCCTAGAAGCCCATGGTAGTAATCAAAGTAGTACTGTCAACTGGTCTTGCTTCAAAAGGGTCCTGACATGATGCTAAGAAGGGAAGAAGAGAGGGGTTATGGGATTGAAAAGGAAGGAGAAAAGTAAGGCAACTCTGAAGAATGATAATTAGATAAAGAACCAGCCCAAATATATACTACTCAAATATTCTGCCCGCTCCCAACTGCCCTACCACCAATTTACATGTTAATATTTAGCTTTGATTCCTCTTAAGGATCCGGTGCTCTGTCCTAATGTACCCAACTAATAGCATTCAGGTTCACTTAAAACAAGGGGGCCTTGAGGCTAACACATGTCCTCTCAATTGCAGACCAGCAGTGATGTACATGAACACAAGCCAGGGGCTTTCTGACCACAAAGAATTCTCCTTCAATGTAAGTGCTTAGTACTTATTATTGCAAAGCTACAAGTGGCAAAGCAACACCAACTCTGACTTCCTACTCTTTGCAGATCCATGGAGAAAACTTCTTTGGAGCCGAATTCCAGCTGCAAATCTGTGTTCCAATTAAAATACAAGGGCTCCGGCTTATAAGAGTGAAGAACCTGACAAAGACACAGGTACTCAGAGGCGGTTCTTGACTCTATCACAATTGTATCTCTTTTCAGAGTGACTACAGATTTTTAAAGGTATAAAAACTAGAGTTCTAGAAAAAGAGTAAAAACAAGACTAGTTAACCTGAGAACACATTAGGAGTAAATTATCAAAGTCATGTTCAGAAGGATTATCAACCACCCACCTCTTAAAGCAATATTTGTTTACTTCCTTTGATAAAAAATAAGCAAAAACTCAAAACTTCTTTAGTAGCCATGGAGACATTTATTTTCCTATTGAAAATTGTTAAATCCTACTTCTCTGTGACTGGCAAATGAGCTTGATAAATATGTGGCATTTCTTGCATGTCTCCTATAAACTGTCTTACCATCTTCCTTTTCTCTCTCCCTCCAGTCTGTCTGTCTTGGTCTCTGCTTTGCTACTGCCTCTTTGCCCTCGGTTGACTCCTGAGCTATAGAATGGTTCCCAAAGCCAGCCTGCCAATACCTATCGGCTCTGATTAGTATGACAGCTGAGACCTTGGGCTTTCCTGAATTTTTTCCCCCCTTAGGGTACATAAAGTGTCAAGGCTCAAAAATGAAAAAGTGGAGAGAAACCTACAGAATAGACTCTGCTGGCAGAAAGAGGGCTTAAAAGTTGTAAACACTGGTTCTCACATATAGTTCATTTTTAAAGAATGTTTGTTGTTTAAAGATTTCCACAAACATTTCAGTTTCCACTTGGAAACAAAATTCTTGTTTGAAAAGCTGATTAGAATAGGAATTTCACCCTCCCCTGGGGATAGAGATCGAAAATAACAATGCAGGCTTTGCGGACTTTCAAGGCTAGTGGTCTCTCTCCCTTTCGGGCGGTAAGGCACCTTTGACTTACTTAAATAGACTGTGTTGGCAGAGCAGGTCAGTGGCAGAGCTGAAGTTCAGCATTGTCCCATGGAAATGTACGATGTCTTTCTTTATTTGCTTCAAGGCAGGGGTGTTACATTTCCTCTTGAAGACCATTTCCTTCAGAATCTTATCTGTGAGGTAATGTAGCCAGAGCACATTACTGTAAGGGTGATATTCACCCCAGCAGTTGTTGTTCTCCTTCTTCATTAGCCTGTAGATCTCAAACTGGTAGTCACCTTCACCTGTAAAAAGGTCCTCATCCTTGGAAATGTCACAGAAAACCACGACCCCATCCCGCTCCAAGCGCGACAGGGTGTAGTCAATGATGTTGACTTGCAGCCCACAGGTGGGGATAGTACCTGTCTTCCCGCTGAGAGTGTAGTGGACTTCCTTGAGGCTGGTTTTCTTTAACAGCACATTCCCCCAGTGTAAGTCTCGGTGCTCAAAGTGCAGCGATGCCTCTGCAACGGCAAGGGATGCGGTGAGCTGGTGCAGAATGCTCTTTGCAGTAGCTATGGAGGACAACGTCTTTCTCCTTTGCTCTAAATCAGTTCCTCCAAATTCAAATTCAAGCACAATGAAGAGCTGGTCTTGGTCGAAAAAGTCAGGCCGGTCATTTGCAGACCCTCTGGTTGAGTTATAGTGATCCCAGGCTTTGAGGAGCAAGGGAGGGTAAGGTCCACGAACACAGTGCACTGAGTTCAGCCCAATGAAGCCATCTGTGCGGTGGCATGCAGCATCAGACAGGAGGCTCAACTCTTTGGAGATGATGATCTCGGGGAGGATTTCCTCAAAAGTTTTCTGGTGGGCTCCATTGACTAACTCCGGTCCTTCAATAGCAATGATTTTTAGGGCTACTGGTGTACAATTAGCAGTTGTTTGAAACACTTCCCCAAACACTCCTTCCCCAATCTTCTCACAGCTTTCCAGTTCCTCCGTGGAAAGGCAAGCGCTAAAGGGGATAGGACCCTCCTGGTCGCATTCCCTATAAACCTTTTCAGCATCAGATGCCTTTTGGTCTGCGACATGCAATGTCTTTAAGGGGGTGAGCAAATACATGGAAGAGGAGTGCCAAGGGGACGGGGCACTGCTTGTTGTTTTGTTCAGGACAGGAGGGTTTGAATATTCGGACAGGAAGGACCCTGGGGGAGAACTGGTAGTGGCGTTGTTGCTCACTTCTGACACAGCGGTCACGATCTTTTTCTTATGGAAACTGAAGGAAGCCCTGGCTTTGGTCCAAGAGCAGTCATTCTGTAATGGAGTCAGGTCCTGGGTAAGGAGTGAATCTCTGCCCGGCCTGTGGCCCTTTTTAAACTGGTGGTGATGGAGGAGGGAGGTTTCTACTGCCTCCCGATGTTTCCTTTTCTGGCCTGGCCCAGTTCTCTCAGGCCTGTTGGTGTTCCCGGGTCCTTTGCAGCTCCAGCAACCACTGGCCTCCCCACCTTCTGTCTGGACAGCCCCTTGAGCCCCAGTCTCTCGACAAGAGTCCTTGTCTGTGGCCCTCTTCCTCCGCCTGCTTGACAAAGCTGGGCTCTCCAGCCTCTTCCCCATCAGTTCCCTTGCACAGCGGGACTCCCGCATATCCTTCCCGCCGGTCCCAAACTCAGAATCCTCAGGGTTCCCCGAGTCCGTAAGGCTAAAGAGAGCTGACGGGAGTCTTGCACGAGCGTGGCGGGCCAAGCTGGTGAACCCGCCTCCTCCTGTTGCTGCTTCCTGGGAGCAGGAATGAGGTGCGTGGTCCCGAGAGGTGGCATCCAGAGAGGTAGAGGGGCCGGTAGCTATGACACTGTCTCCCGGCGCTGGGGATCCGGGGCCGGGGCCGGGAGAGGCTGGGGAGCTAAACAGGGAGGCGCTGGTGCCCAGCTGGCCGCCGTCGCTGGGCTGGCTGCACACACTGAGGTCCGGGCTGAGGCGGCCCGGGGTGCTGCTGGGGAAGGGAGGCGGCCCGAGTGGGCTGCAGGGCGTGCTGCACTTCCGCGGCGGCCGCGCTCGCAGCCTCAGGCGTCTCGGAGTCATGATCAGGCTCGGCGGGGCCTTGGAGGTTCGCCCGCCAGCTCGCCTCCGCCGCGGACCCACCTCGCTGCAGAAGTCGGGGTCGTCAGAGTCGTCGGAGGCGGCGGGCGGCGAGGGGTCGTCACTGCTGGCGTTGCTGCTGCTGGTGCTGCTGAAGAAACGCTTTGAATCTTGAGGCGCGAACCACTGCGCGCCGGCCCGGCCCGACCGCCACCGCGGCCCCCCGCCGCCCACAGCCCCATACGTTCGTAAGAGCCGGTTCCGGGGTCGCGGGACTGGCTCCGCCATGGCTCTCACCCGCCAAACTGTTCAAATGCAAACATCGCGAGACTTCCGGAGGACGCTGGCGTGGACGTAGACACGCCCCCCCGGCCGGCCGGCACGTCGGGTCCTAGCGCCCCCCCCCTCCTGCGCGCATGCGTATCACCCCGGGCTCGCGGGTTTGGCAGGGGGCGCTTTCTCACGGCGGTTTCGCGTCCTCATTCGTCGCGGCGATGGCTCTCGTTCCAGGCGCACACCGTGTGCACCCAGCGTCCGGAGCGCGCTTGTGGGAGCGAGGCGCTTCAGGTGAGCGCGGCGGCGCCGAGAGGCCAGGGAGGGAGGAGGGTCTGAAGCGGGTGACGGGAAGGGCCCGGATACAACTTGCCCGCAGTTTACCCCGAAAGCACGTGCAGGGCGGCCCCAGCGCCCTCCTCGGTCTCTTCCCCGGGTCTCGTGTGCCGAGGGTGACAGTGACAGGGATGGTGCTCACCCGCCTTTCCGTCCCCAGCCCGTGGAGGAGTGGCATTCGGTGCGCTGTGCCATCGCTTCCGACAGAGAAAACGTGACGGTGGCAGCGGAGCTCGCCGCGAGTCAGTCTGAGCAGGTACTTGAGGCCGCGAAATGCCCCAGATGGGCTGGTCCTGCAGCTCCCGGCACCTGTCTCCCCTAGAAAGAGCCGTGGCTGGACCGCGCATCTCCAGTATCACATGCCCTTGGCCCCCCTTCTGCCCCAGCCCGCTCCTTACCCCGTTACTCAGGGCAGCTCACCTCCCCAGTTACTTTCTAGGAACTTCTTGGGCCTCCTCCCTTTCTTACTGGCGCATGTCTGTTCCCACAGCAAACTCTCATTCCACCTCCAAACTACATTCTAAGTCCGTTCACTCCTGCTTGGCCGCTGCTACCCTGTCGTCCAGGCTGCCCTCTTTGGCCCAGACTGCTGCCCCAGCCTTCTGTCTGCTCTTCTCGCCTCTGCTCTTGCCATGCCCTGCTCCGAACATTCCTCACAGCCACCTTTTATTTTGTATTTATTTTTATTCTTTGTTAATCCTCCCCCTAGGATATTTTTCCATTGATTTTTAGAGAAAGTGGAAGAGAGAGGGAAAGACAGAGAGAAATACTGATGTGAGAGAAACGCATTGATTGGTTGGCTCCTGCACGCGCCCTGACCAGGGCCTCGGCCAGGGAGGAGCCCTTGATCAGAATCGGTCCCCAGGCCGACGCTCTATCCACTGAGCCAAACTGGCTAGGGCAACAGCTACCTTTTAAAAACAAACATGCTTTTTTATACATTTGTCCTAAAATTCATACCTTTTCAGTAGTCTGCAAGGCCCTGCGTGATCTGGTCTCCGATTTCTTCTTCGACTTCATCTCCTCGTACTCTCCTCTGCCCAGCTTCTTATGCTCCAGCGGTTCTGTCCTTTCTGTGCCTCCATATTGTTCCGTGTTGTTCTGGCCACAGGCCCTTTGTACTTGCTCTTCCTTCTCCGTGACCTTCTTCTTCTCCCAGATCTTCATGTGCGTGGTTTCTTGTATTTAGCTCACATGTAACCTTCTTGGAGAGGCCTTCCTCGAATACTCATTCGAAAGTGGGAACTACAGCCCAGTGTAACGTCTTGCAGTGACCCAGATGACTGATGAGATCGAAACTGAAGAAATAGCTATGGGAATGGAGGCAAAGGGACAGGTGCAAGAGAGGCTCAAAAAAGGAAAAAGGGCCCTGGCCAGTGTGGCTCAGTGCATAGAGCCCATGCATCAAAAGGGTGGCAGGTTTGATTCCTGGTCAAGGGCACATACTGGGTTGCAGGTCCAATCCCGAGCCCCAGTCTCTCTCACATTAATGTTTCTCTCCTTCTCTCCCTTCTTCCCCCACTTTCCCTCCCGCGCCTCCTTCACTCCCTTCTACTCTCTAAAAATCAATGGGAAAGATACCTTCGGGTGAGGATTAACCAATAAATAAATAAATAAATGAATGAATGAATGAATGAGGATTAACCAATAAATGAATGAATGAATGAAAGAAAGAAAGAGAGAGAGAGAAAAGGAAGGGAAGGGAAGGGAAAGGAAAGAAGGAGGGAGGGAGGGAGGGAGGAAGGAAGGAAGGAAGGAAGGAAGGAAGGAAGGAAGGAAGGAAGGAAGGAAGGAAAGAAAGAAAAGGAAAAATGGTCAAGAAAACTGACTTGGGCGGGGTGGGTGAGGGTGTGACATGAGGTAAAGGGGAAAGTTGCGGAATAACCACAGGTTTTTTGTTTGGGTAACTTTGTGGTTGCTGAGCTCATTAACTAAGCTAAGGAATACATAGGATGGAACACATAAAAGAAGGGATGGTGAATGCTGTACAGAAACAGTAAGTCCACGTCTAAAACATGTTTTCTCCCCCTCTGCCCTTATAGTTCCTAAGAGATGTAACTGAACTGCAGATCCTTGGTGAAATTTCTTTCAACAAATCTCTGTATGAGGGTCTGAATGCAGAGAACCACAGAACGAAGGTAAGCCCTGTCTTCGGGGTGGTGCCCTAGGAGAACTGCTCAGCCTTAATGTACTCTGCTGTGACCCTGTTCCTGTTTTCAGTCTTATCACCTCTGATCTTGACTCTGCCACCAACTGCCTCTGTGACCTTGAGCTAGTCAGCTTCTGCCTCAGTTTTTCCATCTGTGAAATGAGGCAATTACATAAGAGGCTTAAGCTGAGGATGTCTAAACTGTGAAATAACTAAGCTGGAACCATAAGCTACAGATGCTATGATTTGAAAAGGTATTTAAAATTTTTTTCCCAAAGTGAGAAATTATTGTTTGTATGCATGAACTCTCTAGTGTGTAGTGTCAGAGTTTAATTATAATATTAAGCAGTTACAATACTCAGAGTGCGCACTTCTTTGACAGGCCTTAGACTCAGTACTGGAGCTCCTGGGGTTTGTGTTGCTGAAGTCTGACCACAGGTCAAACGGATGTCTGTGATCTGTGGGCCAGATGGAGTGTGTGCTCCCCTGAGCTGTCATTCTTGTTGACACTCACCTAGATGTGCTGCTGGCTTTCGAGATGCTCCATCTGTGAGCTGGTAGTTCGGCATGGTTCATTATTAGGAGGAATGTTAAGAGAGAGACTGGATTGCTAAATATTGGGTCCTCTGATTTTCTTCTGGAGGAGGACGAGAAAGGAACAGTTCTCTAGACGTGTCAGGAATAACATTTCCCTTTATTTTTAGGCATTTCTAATACAGAAAATGATACGAAGAAAGAGAAGTGCCCCGTTATCCCACTGCCCAGATTTTTAAAAAATCCAGTAATGCTTAGAAGAAAATCCAAGGCTTATAGAAAGATACCAAATGAAAAATGATGAGTCCTTTACTTCCCCTCTTCCCACATCCCAACTTCCTCTTCCCAAAGGGAGGTTATGTTAACAATTTCTGATAAGCATATTCTTAAATTATTTAGGTACTTCTTCCTCTTACTGATATTTTTATTCTACAGTATAGATTCCTTATAATTATTTTCTTTAAATTTGATACTGTAAGCAAAGTATTAAGTAGTTCCTGACAATAAGCCCCTGACTTACAGTGAATCTATGAGTATAAGTAGCAGTATATCCAAGTGCATGTCAGCTGCAGTACCATAAAAGGAGGGAGGCAGACCAGGGTCAGTGGTCTGGCTCCTTTGTCTCATTGGCAAAGGGGGCAACTAGTCTTTGTCTTGATTAGCTTAGACCAGTCATGGTTCTGAACAAAATCTGAAAGGAGAGAATGGCTGTGCAGGAGGCCCCCATCGGCATTTGCTACAAGCAGTGGTGTCCTGTGTCCTGCTTCTCCCTTCACCTCCACGGGCAGCCCTGGGGCACGTTGGAAACCTGTGGGTTTGGGAGAGGAAAAGGGAAGAGACTTAGAGAAATAGGAGCGTTTCGTCCACTCAGGTCTGGTCTGGTTGGGGCTTCCTTTCATCGCTTTCCTTGTCCTTCCCCCTTCGCTTCCACAGAAGGAAAAACAAGCTCCCTTCCTGGTCTTCCTCCCTCTCTGTTGCTTTGCTCCCCGCTCACTGTCAAGGCCGAGAACTAATCCTTGTAAGGCCGGTGTGTACATAGTGCCTGGAGGGTCAGCCCTGGGAAGTAACCACCGTCTGTAGCTCTATAGGAGGAGGCTCACAGATAAATCCGTCCAGCCTCCACCCCGTACAGAATTTCCCTCCGAAGCATTGCTGACCTGGGGGCTTAAACACTTGTGTGAAAGGAGCTCACTGTTTTGGGCAGGCAAAGCTGGTTTTTTTCCTGTCTGTTTGTTTTATATGGTTTTTTAAAAAATTGATTTTAGAGGGAGAAAGAGAGAGAGAGAAACATCAATCTGTTGCCTCCATCCGTGCCCGGACCGATAACGGAACCCACAGCCTTTCGGTGCATGGCATGTTGCTCCAAACAGCTGAGCTCCCTGGCTGGGGCCAGGCAGAGAAGCTTGGCTGGCCCTTGGCCCCCCTCAAGTCCTGGGACCATGGTGTGGTGTGTGCTGGCCACACCTTGGGACGCTCCTGTCTGGGTCTCACTTGGGAAGCACATCCCTAAGCTCCCAGCTGAGTCTTGTTTGTGAAAAGACAGCTTAGACTCTGAAGTTGAGACAGCAGTGCTGGGGACGGCTTCCATAGGAAGAGCTCTACAGGCTGTACACGTGGTGCTGTTTTGCGTTATTTTCCCGTCTCAAAGTAACATATACTCTAGTCTGGTGAGGAGCAGAACAGTGTGTTTGTCTTATATTTCGGGTGAGGGAAAGTGTATTACCAGACTTTAGGGATTTGTGGAAGCTCAGAAAGAGCTGTCAGAACAGAGCTGGAATGCCCTAACCAGTCTGGCTCAGTGGATAAAGCATCGGCCTACAGGCTGAAGGGTCACAGGTTCGATTCCGGTCAAGGGCATGTACCTTGGTTTTGGGCACATCCCCAGTAGGGGGTGTGCAGGAGGCAGCTGATTGATGTTTCTCTCTCATCGATGTTTCTAACGATCCCTCTCCCTTCCTCTCTGTAAAAAGTCAATAAAAATATTATTTAAAAAAACAGAGCTGGAAGATCATTTACAAAAAGTCATCATTTTGAAGGTGAAACTTGGGGATCAAGGATGTATAATGGCATAGCTGGGTGTAGAATCTTAATTTTCGGTCAGTCTTTAAAACCTGAAGACCTCAATCCCGTGGGACCCTCTGTTAAACTGTCAGAGAATCCTTAACAGGAGGTCACAGTCTCCTGACAGACTTAGCTCTATTTCTGCATTACAAATCAAAATAGTTTCTATAAAGTATTTTGGTCATTAGATCATGTTACTGCGCTCTTTTTTCCCCTTCAGTTTTTGTTCTGTTTGCTTTTTGAGGATTCTATTGATTATCTAGCTCAGAGGTTCTTTGCTTAGCCAAGTTCTGTCTACAAATGAGCCATCAAAGGCATTCTTCATTTTTGTTACAGTGTTTTATCTTGAGCATTTCTTTTTGGTTCTTGGGATTTCCACCTTTCCACTTCCATTGCCTGTCTATTCTTTATCTTTGTTCTTATGTGCTGTCTGCTTTATCCATTAGAGGCCTTAGCATATTGATCATAGCTGTGTTAAATTCCCCATCTGATAATTCTAACATCCTTGCTATGTCTAGTTCTCATGCTTGCTCTTGTCTCTTCAAGTTGTGTATTTTGCCTTTAGGAACTGCTGTAAATAGGCCTTTAGTAATGTGGTGAGGTATGGGGGAAGGTGAGTGTATATCATCCTATAAGTAGGTCTCAGTCTGTTAGTGAGCCGATGTTCTGCTCTCACATTGATGTTTCTCTCTCTCCCCCTCTCCCTTCCTCTCTAAAAATCAATAAATTATCAAACATGAGTAATGTTGCTTAAAAAAAATAACAGTGCTCTGGTGTATTTCAAAATGGCATATTTCCTGTTGGGAAGCCAAGAGATTTTTCTCCAGTCCTTACTGTGGGAACCTGGTCAAGCTCCTGGAGGTAAATCTCACTGTGGGGGGGGCCCCCTTATGACTGGGTTTCCTGGCGTTTTTAACTCTGAGTTGTCCACACTGAGCCTCCAGCAGTTCATCAATTATAGTTCAGGTTTTCTTTCCCCCCTTTTTTTTTTTAAATCCTCATTCAAGGATATTTTTTCCATTAATTTTTAGAGAGAGTGGAAGAGAGAGGGAAAGACAAAGAGAAATATTCATGTGAGAGAAATACTTCGATTGGTTGCCTCCTACACGAGCCCCAACCAGGGCCTGGGGTGGGGAGGACGCTGCAACCAAGATACGTGCCCTTGACCGGAATCGAACCCGGGACCCTTCTGTCTGCAGGTTGTCACTCTATCCCCTGAGCCAAACCGGCTAGGGCGTAGTTCAGGTTTCCTATCCCAGCACTGTAAGCTTCTACTCATATTTTGCTCCTTAAAATAATGTGTGGCACTTTTTCTCATTTGCTTGACCTGATACAACTTTGTCTTGTTCTAGATCATGGTCATCTTCCTGAAAGAGGAGGGGTACCTTCCTTTGCCTCTCATCATCGGAAGCAGTGTCGCTGGCTTTCTGGTTTTGATAGTGATTATAGTCGTGCTATTCAAGGTCAGTTCTATCGTGTTTATACAGGCCCTGGGGTTGGGCGCAGTACTTTCGGGGACAGCCAGCCCCTGACTTAGAACAGCTGCCTGGCTGTGTGGCCCCTTTACCCTCTTCCTTCCAACACACATCTGTAGGCAAATGAGTGAGACAGTTTCTGTCTGAAAAAAATACAAACCGAATTGAACTATTGGAGTAAAGAGAGATTTTCCTGAAACAGATTGGTGGTGGTTCCCTGTTTAAATCCTTCCCTTCCCTTCCCTTCCCTTCCCCTCTTTTAATATTCAAACTTTATCTGCTGTTCAGGATTCTCACTCCCCGGCTTCTACCCGCTCACCCTAAGTCTTGCTTTTTTCTCCAGAGTTGAACTAAATAGGCTTGTGTCTTTGTGCTGGCAGTTAAGCTGTCCACCCCACCCCCAGGCTGTTTTTCACGGTTTCACCGTGCTCACACTCTTCCCTTAAAACCCAGCCCAGGGAGGGACTCCGGAGTCCTCTGAGCTGAGGTGGAGCTTTTCCTGTGAGCTCCCGGCTGGGACCCCAGAAGTGGCACTGTGTGTCAGTGACTTCTCGTTCTACTAGATGGTGCGTTTCTTGCTGTGGGCACTGTACTTGATCACCTAGCCTCAGCATAGTGGGCTGAGCACTTTTACAAAATAAGATCCAGCACAGCCCAAACTGTAATACTTTGCACAATTAAAAGTTAAAAAGGTTAAAGAGCTCCGTGGTTTCAGGGAAAGGTCAAAAGTCACTTCTGACTGGGGAGTGAGCACCAGGAAGGCTGTGGAAAGGCAGCATTTAGGACGCTCTTGGCAGACTGGGAACTGGGAGAGATTCAGGGGAGCCTGAGAAGCCAAGGAGTGTGGGGGCTCTTTTGGCAACAACCAGGTAAATGGTTTTCTGGGGCAGATGGGTATCTTCGGTCTGAAATTGGGCTTTCCCCCTTTGTTTTAGTGTGGCTTTTTTAAAAGAAAATACCGACAACTGAACTTGGAGAGCATAAGGAAGGCCCAGCTGAAATCAGAGAATCAGCTCACAGAAGGTGAGGACCAGCCTTCTCGTCCACTGGGAGAGAATGTCAGCTAGTGCTCAACTCCTGGAGACTTGGTGTCGTACGGATGACCTGGTCTTGTAGGAGGGTGCAGGGCAGAATCTGATAAATTGTCAATACAATATTGTTTTTCAATAATACATCGTCTCAAGAGTGCCTGTGCATGTGCAAAAATGAACTTGGGAAAGATTTGGTGTTTATTTAACTGTTTGGTGTTAAACTGTTTTCTTTACAAAAGCGTTTTGAATATACACATATAATATATTTTGAATTCTTTTTTCCTCCCAAGAAATTATATAGCATTTCTCAACTTTGTGTAAAAATGCATTTTTCTCGTCATTACTGTTGATATCTCCAAAATCGTGTCCTATGAAGTTTATCCTGCAGGGACAGTGGTTGAAAGCGGTTCCTAGTCTGGTATTTCAACATCCTCAGCTCTTGCCTGTTATTTCAATTCAGGCCACAAAAAGCCTCCCAGAACAAATGAAAAAGTATAAAAACAAAAGTCATCAAAACAGGCACTAGGAGGAGAGGCAAAGACAAGACTAGGATTTTATTCTGTAGCTTCATTTTTAAAAAAATATATTTTATTAATTTTTTACAGAGAGGAAGAGAGAGGGATAGAGAGTTAGAAACATCGATGAGAGAGAAACATTGATCAGCTGCCTCCTGCACACCCCCTACTGAGGATGTGCCCGAAACCAAGGTACATGCCCTTGACCGGAATCGAACCTGGGACCCTTCAGTCCACAGGCTGACGCTCTATCCACTGAGCCAAACCGGTTAGGGCTGTAGCTTCATTTTTATTGTATGTATGAACATGTCTATTTACTAACATGGCCAATCCTTTACCTGGCTTCCTACTTAGGGAATTGCTCAGAGAGACTTCATTCCTTAGTAAATACTGTCACCAGAAGAAAGCACTGGTCCACAGGGGATGGAACCTGGCCTGGGAGAGGGTGGGGGCACAGAGATTAGGCCGTGATTATAGGCTAGCCTTGCTCTTAGTAGCTTATTTTATTGTTATGGCTGTTAAAGCTTGACCACATTTTTCCACTTCTAAAAACATTGTTTTCATGAATTATAAAATTATTGCAAAAATGTAAACAGTGCAGAAGTATATAATGTAGAAAGTAATTTGTATGACCCTCACTAGTCTTCTTTGTCTAATTGAGATGATTTCATTATTATTCCTTTTAAATTTTAACTTTTTTTCTGACATCTATGAGTTTATAAGGTGTGAATTGAGGATTTAACCCGAGTATGTTTTTCCCAGAAGCATAAGTGATTTCACAGCATCACTTACTGAAGTACCTATCCACTTCCTCTGCTTATCCACGTTCTCCCAGAATCACAGGGCCCAGAAGGCTTTAAACGTCTGAACTCCCTGGCAGTGGGTTTCTAGTTCAGGTTTTCCCAGTGAGAACCCACTGGGAGTGGGCAGATGGGGGAAGCCTTTCTCCTGGTTCTGCAAGCAGTGGCAGCAGCAGATGGGCACAGGCCTCTGAGCAGCAGCATGACAGCGTGGGCTCCCATGGTGGTGGCTTCCTGCAACCCCTGACCTCTGGGTGACACTCCTTTTATTTTCCAGCCCTTTCGACAAACTTGAAACTTAGCTCTCTGTGTTAAATCTCTTTCTGCTTGAAATACCTAGAGTGGTTTCTGACAACCTTGAATCTGTTATTTCCAAATGATTAACAACTTGTTTTTAATCATTTGTTGAAAATGCTCACTGCTGATTTGAGATTCTGCTGTTATCATTTATGCAATTCCAATATATGCTCATATATGAAGTCTAGAAATTAAGTTTTGTTTCATGGATCTCTTTGTTCCTGTATCAGTACCACGATTGAAGGAACAATTTTTTTTTATTCCAGTAATAAACTCAAAACAGCACAAAGGTATCTAAACAATGAAAAGTTCCCCTTTCCTCTCCCACTTTAATCTCTTTTTCCAAAAGCAACCACTGTTAATAGTTTCAGACATTTAAAAAAAATATTTCTGTGTGTATCAGCATAAACTTTTTAAATGTGCAAGTGGGATTAGATTATTTATAGTGTTCTGCCCATAGTTTTTTTCATCTAATGGACTTAGTCATCTTTAAGTAGCAACATCTGAAGACCTACCCCATTCTTTTAACAGATCTATAATATACTCTATGTTATAAGTGGATGTGTCAGAATTTACGTAACAAGCCTTATAGGTGGATAGTTAGGTTATTCTCATTTATTTTTTTTTATTACAAAGAAAAGATGTGATAAACATCTTTAAACGTGTGCTGAGATGCTTTTCAGGTATATTGATGGTTAAGTCCTAGCGCAATTACTGGCTCAAAGGTTATGGGCATTTACAATTTTGATAGATGATGGCAACTTGACCTTGAAAATGTTTTTACCAGTTTACACTCCCACTTAGAATATGTTTAAGTGCCACTCTGTGCCCTGAGCACCACCAGATTAAGTATTTTGCTAATCTAATCAGTATGATAACTAGTATTCTGTTTTGGATACCAGCTTTCATTTGTAACTTTGCAGCCCAGGTATATGCCTTTGACTGGGAAGAGACCCTTTGGTCTGCAGGCTGATTCTCTAACCATTGAGCCAAGCCAGTCAGGGCTGGGTATTCTATTTTTTTAAAAAAATATATTTCTTTATTGATTTAAGAGAGGGAGGAAGAGATAGAAACATCAATGATGAGAGAGAATCACTGATTGGCTGCCTCCTGTGTGGCCCCTACTGGGGACCAAGCCCGCAACCGGGCACGTGCCCTTCGCCAAAATCGAACCTGGGACCTTTCATTCCACAGGCCAACACTCAATCCACTGAGCCAAACCGGCTAGGGCTATTCTAATTTTTAAATATGTTTTTATTGATTTCAGGGTGGAAGAGAAAGGAAGAGAGAGAAACATCAATGATGAAAGAGAAGCATTGATTGGCTGCCTCCTGCATGACCCCTACTAGGGATCAAGCCTGCAACCTAGGCAAACGCCCAGACTGGGAATCGAACCATGACCTCCTGGTTCATAGGTTAACACTCAAACACTGAGTCACATTGGCCTGGCTACTCTGCCAGACTTTAATGGGAGCTTTGCATACCCTCCTCTGTCTGCCTCACAACCTGCCCTTGGCCCTAGCCCCTTTGGGAAGTTTCTCCCTCCCTCTTGCTCTCTCTCCCTCTTCCTCTCTCTAATCATGTCCTACGAGGTGAGGATTTAAAAAAAAGTCAAGTTAACTGAAGTGTGTGTATGTGTATCCTATATGATAAAAGGGTAATGTGCAAATTGACCCCAATAGTGGAATGATTGGGAACAACCGGTTGCTATGACACAGACTCACCACCAGGGGGAAGACGCTCAACACAGGAGCTGCCCCCTGGTAGTCAGTGCGCTTCCACAGGAGGAGCTCTGTTCAGCCACAAGCCGTGCTGATGGCTGTGGTGGCAGGAGCCTCTCCCACCTCCTCCACAGTGCTAAGAATGTCCAACTGACAGCTTAGGCCAGCTCCTTGGTGGGCCTAAGCTGTCAGTGGATATTCCCCAAGTGCTCCTGGACTGCTAGAGGGATGTCTGACTGCCAGGTGAGGCCCAATCCCCTGGGGAGCAGGCCTAAGCTGGCAGTGGACATCCCCTGAGAGGTCCTGGACTGCGAGAGGGTGCAGGCCGGGCTGAGGGACCCCCACGCCCCCAGTACATGAATTTTCGTGCATCAGGCCCCTAGTATACACACACACACACACACACACACACACTACATACGTACACAACACTTTTTTTATTTTGGTTTTTTAAGGATCATATGTTCTACCATTTGTGACCTTTATCAAGGAATGATTTCAGAAAAAAATGGGTGAGAGTGGGATAGGGAGAGGTAGTATCTTGGGCTAACATGTCTATGGGGAATTAATAAATTTGTACAGCTCTTCACCATTTGTAAAGAAGCCCTTTCAGCTTTTTCCAAAAGTGGACTGAAAGGTATTTTTGTAATCGCTATGCTGTGCCAAATAGCTTTCCAGAAGGACCAAACCACAAAAGATAGGTATCAGCCACAAGAACATGTCCTGGGACCTCCGTTTCACTTCGCTTGTTTTTTAATGGGTATGTGATCATAGCTTTGATTGACAGCGAGACCGTGTACCTTCCTATGAAATAAGATGACAATTTTTTTGCTTGGGACTTTACTTTTTCTGTCTTGTCCAGTTAAAATGTGGCTTTGGCTTTTTCTCAGCTCTTTCTGAACTGGGTCATCTGGCGTAGAAGTGCATTTTTCCTTTTGAACTTCAGAGCCTCTGGGCAAGTAAGGGATTTGGCCTAAGTAGAATCAGAGAGCGATGCGCCCTCCAGGATGGGGGATTCTGGCAGATGTGCTGGTGGGCATGAGGAAGCAGTGGGTGTGGTTTCTGTCCAGGCCTGGGCAGCCCTGCCCAGAGCTCTGGCAGGTGTTCTTAGGCTCCGGTTAGCATCCTACCCTGGGGAATCTTTCCTCTAGAGCCCTGAGGTCTGTGACTAAGGTTGGAATGTTGGAGGGAGAAAACAGCCCATGTGGGTGCTGCTAGCTTTCCTCGCCTAGGAGAGGGCTACCAGCCTAATTCCTGGAATTCCACACTGCGGCTTGGGGCCCTCTGCCTCCTGGATGAAGGCTCCTGGTGGACTGGTTAGCTTGTTAGGGCCACTCGTACCTCTAAGTGAGGGGTTTCTAACTCGTGTGTGTGCCATAGGCCCCTTTGGTGGTCTGGTGAAGCCTAGGGAGCCCTTCTCATGATTTCCCAACATTGTGCTATGAAAACGTCCAAATATACAGAAGAGTCGAATTTTATGGTGAAGACCTGTCTACCCACCACCTGGTTTCTTCCATTAACATTTTACTATGCTTGCTTTATCGCATATTTTCCCATCTAGTCATCCATCAGCTTGTTTTTAAATATATGGAAGTTTACAAAGAACCAATTATATTGAACACAATGATCAGAATATTAAAAAAAATTATGATATGGAGATACATGTGTTTCTTCATTACTGCACTAAGCAGCAGGTCTAGTAACTATGCTGCTTTCAAATCATGATGACCTTAAAGTGTGTTTTGAGGTATTTACCTGTAAGGTGATGGGAAAATACCTGAATTTCTATTGATGTTAAGTATAGGTACTGCTAATCCTACACTGTTGCCTACACTTTTAATTGAGGAAATGTTAAGTTTCAGTTAAATGTTAAGTTTCAGTAAACCAAAGAAGGAACATTTTTTCCATCCAACTTCACAGACTTCCTTCTGTACATACTCAGGTCCATTTAATAAAAGCATATGTCCTGCCCGGACTT